GGCCAGTTTCTTCTCTGTTTTATTTCATTAAATTTCTCCTGACCGTGACCCGCCGATGATTTTATAAGCCACTAAGAAATGGGGTGCGGCTCCGAGCTGAAAAACTCTGGAAGATACGAAAGAGACGCAGGTTGGAAAGGTTTTCCTTTGGCGTGGACGAGAACGAAGAGAGTGATAAAAGTGAAGGAGACATTGGAAGGGGGAGCCGATTAGTTTCCTGTGGCTGCTATGACAGAACGCGACACGCTTGGTGGCGAAGCAGTAGTAGCTTATCCTCTCAGTTCTGGAGGCCGGAAGTTCAAGGCCAGCATCACCGGGCCAAAGTCAAGGGCTGGCAGACCCGCCCTCCTTCCTGAGGCCCGAGGGTCCGCTCCTCGTCTCCGCCAGCCCCTGGTGGAGGCTGCCACTCTTCGGGTTCTGGCCACATCACTCCACTTCCTGCACGGCCATGCTGTCTTCTCCTTTTGTGAAGCCTCCCTCTGCCTCTCTCCTTGAAGAACACTTGGGATGGCAGTTGGGGCCCGCCTGGGTAATGCCGGGGGGTTTCTCGACCTCAGGATCCTTCACTTAATGATGCACCCCTCCACCCCCCAACCTTTGCAATGTAAGGTGACCTTCGTAGGCTCCAGGGATTTGGATGTGGATATCTTTGAGGCGGGGGGTGGGAGTGGGGTTTACTCAGCCTACGGCGAGTGCTGACAGAGGAGAAAGTACAGTGAATTCAGGTTTTGGATGGTGAGATGTTCCATGGCCTTGGAAGCAGTTAGAAAAACAGGACTTGAATTTCCCAATATATAGAAGGTGAGGGTTGTAATTATGTATAGGTGTTTATTAACATCAAGGAGACGGTAGAAGCCGAAAGAGTGGATGTGTTTATTCAAGCACAAAGCAAACTCATCTTCATTAAACATACGGTGCTGGGTATTAGACTGACAGCAAGCTCAGGCAAGGCGTCGGGAAAGCAAGGAGAGCTGTGTGTCTGCAGGCCTGAGGTTATCAGGGAGTGAAGCTCCTATCCTGTCTGTCTACTGCCTGCCTGTCTGTCTACTGACGTACCTTCCACCTTAGATATTGCAATAGAGAGAGTAGCTGCAGAGCCACTTCTTACAAATATAATTTGTGCCTAGTGCAGTGTTTGCCATATAGCAGGTGCTTGATACAATAGTTGTAGAATAATTGTGGTAACTCTTTTTCTAAAAAGTGACCTCTTACTCTAAAAGCCTCGGGGGTTTTCTGGCCCGTTCCATGCTGCTGCTCAGCGGTCAGAAACCTGCACTCAGAACGTGGCAGGAGGCCTCGGAGAATCTGCCGTCTGGCTGTCACCTCTCATTGTTGCCCTCGAGGTAAGAGAGGCAGGGAGGCCAGCGATTTGTCCAGGCTGCCGCGACAGCGCGCCCTGCTCGCCGTGCCCTTGCCTCTCCCAGCCCAGGGCCCGGCTCCGGCGGAGGCCTCTGCCCGCTCGAAGGCGCGGTGCTCGCCTCTACCCGCCCGCGCGCTGCCCTCTTGGTGTTTTTCTCGAAAGCAAAGCTCTCCATTCCAGCGGGACCCAGAAGCCTTTCTCTGGTCGCACACAGAGAGCCGAGGCGCTATTTCTGCCTCCCGCGGCAGCTTCGGAGACGCGCGGCGGGCGGCGGTGTTCGCTGACCGCCCAGGAGGGGGAGCGCGGCGGGTCAGGAGCGCGCGCTCTGCAGTGAGCGGGGCAGCCTGTCGCCGCAAAGCCTCTTCCCGCGGGGAGTTCACGGAGGGCGGCGTTCTGTTTCCACCTAGAGCTGCCCTCGGTGTGTCTGCACCGGAGTGATGGCTTCAAGCCGTCTCCGGATGGCTTTAGAGGAGAAAGCGACGATGGGGAAAACATAAAGGGCTTCGGAGGAGATTACTTTTTTCTCGATGAGTCAGCACTGGGTCTCAGTAGTCATGCATTGGCCTTTTCGAAGGCAGGGAGCTGCAGCAGGGGCGTCCTCATGGGGAAGTCACAGCGCGTTGAGTAATTTAAGGAACGGGTTGTGTTTGGGGCCCTGTTCCTGAAGGGCCCCCTGAGCCGGCGGGGGAGAGAAACGTGAAGCACGTTGCGTCCACCGACCTGATGCTGGGGATGGCGTTGTCGGGGAACACGTACGGCACGGGCTTTGTGAACAGTTTGGTTAGAGGTCTCGGGATGCTTTTGGAACGATTTCTTATTTATCGCCCTGGGAAGACGGGGCCTCTAATTTACAAAGCAACCCTTAACACTTTCTTTCCCTTTTAGCTACTATTTATTACATACTTATCTGGGCGCCACGTGTTGTGTCTCACAGATATTATGTCACTTGACCAGCCGCGTGCGGAGTCTGGACATTCATTCTTTCCGTTATAAGCCGCAAGTGGCGCGCTCTGAGCAGGAGGCTGGCCATGCTGCGAGTTAGGCTTTACGGCGATTCCCGTGAGAGCGAGGGGGGCGGCTGGGCAGCCGGGGGCACCGAGCAGGTGGCGACGACCGTCTGGGCCGGACGCCGAGGGACGCGGCGGGGTCCTTTGGCAGGGCGGAGGCAGGCCCAGGGAGACCGAGGCCATTGTCAGGCGGGGTGCGGACTCCCGGGGGGCGGGGGAAGCAGGGGCTGCTCAGTTCGAGATGTTCTTCTCCTTCGACGTGACCCCGTGTGAGACGCTGAGTAGGGCAGGGAAGGGACGTGTGTCAGCGCGGCCCAGCAGACCCCCTTCGGCCTCGGCCGCGGGGTTCAGCGCGGGGGCGGTGGGCCTGCCCTGGAGCCCTGCCGGCCGCCCCGCTCTGCCCGCCTGTGGGCCGCGCGCCGGGCCCGCGCGCCCTAGCACCCTCCGCTCCAGGGTGTCCATTGGAATGCCTGTCCCTCGGAGTCCCCGAGGGACGCAGCGTCATCCCCGCGCCTTGGTCAGGGTGCTTAATAGTAGATGGAAATTACTGTTCTTCCTACACTTTATTTGCCTTATTCATTTTTAGTCTCTCGTGAGTGTACAGCGGGGTTTTTCCAGGGGCGACATGTGCTCTATGACACAGCAGCAGATCGAGAAAGAAGCGGATCCGGGAAGTCAGCTGTCTTACATTAAGCCAGGCAGTAAAGAGATACACAAAAATTTAAACAATGCTGCTCTTCTCACTAACTTCTTACTTTTTAAAACAATCACAAAAACCAGAGTGAAAAAATATTATGTTAACACGCAATGAGTCCATTTTTCATTTAAAAATGAATTGGTGAGTTATAATGAAAACATTTCTGTTTTAATTTTTAACACAATAGATATCGATATATATTACCCACATAAACAAAGTCTCTTGGGGGCTTACTATCATGGTTAAGAGCTGCGAGGGGCTCTGAGGTCAAAGTGTTTGAGGGCTGCTAACTCAGAGGCCAGAGCGACCTGTCTGCAGGCTCCAAGGTCAGGGCTCAGGTCTCTCCCCGACCCCCGCCTCCCCCCCCCCCCCCCCGCATTAGGAGGAAACAGAAAATTTCTGAGCAGAAACGTTGAGCTATGCGAAGAAATACTTGTGATCACTCATTTACAAGTTGAAAACCCCCCACTGCTTCTCAGGCGGCAGGACAGGATGCAAACAACTAAGGGAAGAGGCTCTGGGAAAATCCAAGGCACCGCCGGGGTGGGGGTGGGTGGAAGCTAAGACTTCTACCTTAAAAGACACTTTAAAGACCAAGTAAGGCTCCAAGTAACCTCCCTACAGGCAGTTATATCCTTCTGCGTAAATGTCGCACAGAGTTCCCGTGGTCCGGGAGGGTCAGCTTCTCAGGGCCCAGGCGGCACTGACCGTGCTAATACCTTCGGTTTCCTCTCTGGCAGCTGACACACAGCAGCCGAGCCGCGGGGACGGAGGCTGGCGGCCGGAGCCTGGGAGGGAGGGGGGAGGGCACCCGCAGGGAAAGGGGAGCCGGGCGGGGGAGGGGCCCGGGTGGCGCTAACGGGCACTGTTCGGTGCCCCCTTAGGCCGCGCTGTGTCCTGAGGGCCCTTTAGGACGAAAGGTCATGATCACCTTTTCTGATAATTATTTGTTTTATGGACTTTTTTTTTTTTTTTTTAACCTGTGCTTTTGGCTCACAATGTCCGCTTCTTGGGGACTCTTCCTGGAAAGGGTCTATTATTGCTGCTGAAGCTCCGTGGCCACTTGCGGCTCTGCATGCGGGGCGAGGACCAGCCGAGTTCGCGTTTATCTCTTTGGGGTCCGAGGAGCCGTCAGGGAGCAAACAGCCTTGGCTCACTTTTCTTTGAAGCCTCCCTCAAAAATCCTGCAGGAGGGGCTTTTGTTAATTTGGACTAGTTCTTAAGGAGAAAGATTAAAGTCGTGGTGTTTTCCCCTCTCTTAGCTGCTCAATAAAATACACTTTAAGAAAAAAGAAAAAAAAATGGCTATGAGAATTTACTGCTGTCAGCAGTGACCCAGGCGCGTGTGAGGGTCAGTCTTCCAGTCCCCACGTGCTGGGCACCGTTAGAAGCCGAGTGTGTAACCTTTTCAGATACAGTGCCCTTTCGTAGTGCTATTTTTTTTTTTTATTTTTGCAAAAGAATCTTGTGAAACTCAAGATTAAAGGCTTAAAAAAGAAGCAACGCTCCTAAATTTCAGCACACATATTCCAAAATAAAATAATTCTTTTGCTCTACGCTATGCACACTTTCAAAAGTATCTGTTTTATGCAATCTGATTCTGTTATGTCTTTTGTAGTTAATTAAAATAGTTTGCTGTCGTATTTACTGTGAATTCCTAGAGAAGGCTGCCAGACAAAATACAGGACACCCAGGGTACCTTTGAATCCTTTTTTAGGGTAAGTGTGCGCCAATTCAAATTTAATCAGGTACCTTTTATTTTAATTTGCTAAGTCTGGCAACCCTATCTAATTGCAAGTAGGTTCTTTTGTTGGGTCTTAGCATTTTACAGGATGTTTTCAAATGCTTTCGTAATTGAAGACAAAAACATAATTTTCTCGGGAAAGCAATCACCAGTTGGCAAAAATCGTTCCTTTGCGTAAAACAGAGCACTCAGTTCTCTGGAAGCGGAGCCCTATAACAATACCCAGCGCCCGACTTGCAAATCAGGTTCGGCTGCTTGGCTTGGGAGAAGTTCCCTCTGCTGGCGGGATAAACGGCTCCACCCCGCTGTTGAAATGTGATACAAGTTGTAACGAAGCCGGAAGTCGGGCCGCCGCCTCGCTCCCCAAGGTAAGTGTGTCTTTACATTTTGGTGTCAGAGCTCTTTGCAAAGCATTTAAAAATTGAATCCAGCTACGTGACAGCACAGGGCTGACCGCGGGCAGACGCGGACACAGGACGGCAGCTTGATTAGCAAACTGCACCCTGGCGCGTGGACCCAGCTCTCGCGTGCTCTCTAAGGAGTGCGGGGAGAGCTTGTCCCTGTGACTTTGACTGAGAAGCTTTAATCCCCAGGAGAGGGCGATTCTAGGTAGAGCCGTTTGGGATCCTGAAGAGCAGCGGCTTTATTGAGGCATAGCTTTTCTTTCTTTTTAAATTTCAAACTATGGGAACTCTCTTTGACATTTAGCAGAAGGATATAACTGCCTGTAGGGAGGTTACTTGGAGCCTTACTTGGTCTTTAAAGTGTCTTTTAAGGTAGAAGTCTTAGCTTCCACCCACCCCCACCCCGGCGGTGCCTTGGATTTTCCCAGAGCCTCTGCCCTTAGTTGTTTGCATCCTGTCCTGCTGCCTGAGGGGCAGTGGGGGGTTTTCAACTTGTAAATGAGTGACCACAAGTATTTCTTTGCATAGCTCAACGTTTCTGTTCAGAAATTTTCTTTCTCTTCTGGATTAAAAATAAAAGGGAACGGGCGGGGGAGACGGGAATCTGCCTGTGGGCTTTACTGCCGACGAGGAGCTGGGCTTTCAAAGATGGTTTCGTTTAAAGGGATGAGTTCTGACAAGCCACACCAGGGCTGCCTTCCATGTGGGCTGCTGGCTGTTGTGAAACAGGATCAGTGTGGGACACATTTTCTGCCTCCAGGAATTTGCCCACAGACGGGTCACCGGTTGTGCAAGGAAAATGGGATCCGCCCTCGCCGGGCGGCTCAGCCAGTTGCAGGTCTGTCCCACTCACCGAGAGGTTTCAGGGCCTGTCCAGGCTGGGCCACGGACGGGAGGCAACCGATCAACATTTCTCTCTCACGTTGATACTCTTCTCTCTTTCTCTCAACTCCTTCCTCTCTCTCTAACATCTGTAGTGACGATAACATCCTTGAGTTAGGATTAGAAAACATGCCATCGAAAGGATGGCCTGCGTCTTCTCCTTATTCACGTAAGGGCGTGGAGGCTTTAAGGAGGTTTGCTTAAAGCCTCGCAGTTGGCTATTGGTAGGGCAGAGAGGCACGTCCAGCTCCGAGCTTGCTGCAGAGCTTGCCTGCCCTATTCTTTTGTGCCGCGTGTTTGGGAATTTGGTCAGCTGATCACTGACAGCGAGTGGCTCTCTAGAGCTGCTGTCCTGAGCTATGGGAGCTCACACATTTCATTTTAATTCCACCTGAAAAAGAATGTCCTTTTCCTCTTCTTCCTGAGATGGCGGGGCCCGGACTCATGGCTCGCGCCGCTCTCCTCCTGTTGCACGTCTCTCTTGTGGCTAATTACCCCGGGGGAAAAGTCACTGAGTCCTGTCACGATATGATTCCTCGGCACGGCCACACCCCCCACCCCGATCCTGTGCACAGCCTTGCAGTGAGCCAGGCGACCTTCACGCCGGGGGATCACGTCAAAGGTACCGGGCTGGGTTCGCTCTTTCTGTTTTCAGTTTCACCCTTTTACTGCAAATTGAATTTTGTTACTGTTGGAGTCACGCGATTCCAGTTCCATCCCTTCACCGCCGTTGGTTAAATGCCCATCCTCTCAGTCTTCACCTCCCGCTTCTGTGCTTAGCGGCTGCGGGTGACGGTTACTGCGGTAGCGCGTCTCCTCCCGACGCGGGGCGGGTTTTAGGTTCTTTTTTAATCGTATTTAAGATGTCTTCATTAACAATATTACGAACTCAACAGAAAAGAAAATAAAGTTGATTTTACCCGGTTTAAGATAGAATAAACCCTTATCTTCCTCTTCCCCCCTTTTTTTGAACGCTTCTCTTTTTTCTTGCAATGTAATCTCTTATATTATCCTGATTCTTTTGGCAAAATGTAGGCTGGCGGTTGAAGGTACATCTATAATAATGTTTGGAAAACTCCATTTTCTGCAGCTCCAGAAATGCAAACTATGAGTGGATACTCTGAGCCGAAAGAGTGTACGCAAAATGCACTTCGTGCGGTGTATACCGTACCTCTTAGAGTTTCACACTGCATGGAAGGCTGTTAGAGAACCTCAGGATTCGCAGCAAAGAAACAAGCACTTGCTTTCATCCCGCACTTTCCAAACTGCTCTCAAACGGGCCAGCCCCTGGCCACCGCTGCCCTGTGTCCCCTGCGACCTGGCTATGACCGTCTCCGGGAGCGAGGTCGGGGGACCTAGCTCAGAGCTTTGTCTAGAGGGGGCTTCCTACTGTCTCCTGCCCCGGGGGCAGTTTTGAGTTTTGGGCATGAACACCTGATTCTGGCTCCAACCTGCCTCCTCTAAACCGTTTCCTTTCGGGACGTTGCCAAACCGCTCACCCCGTCTCCTTGTCTGTGTCTCAGTCACGCTGTCGGGGCCGGAGTTCAGAGGCTTCCTCTTGGAGGCACGGAACGCGGAGGATTTGAACGGCCCTCCTGTTGGCTCCTTCACGCTGGTTGACAGTCAAGTGTCACAGCTCCTGACTTGTGCAGATGTCCAGGTTTGTGTTCCTTTTGAGACGGATTTCTGTCGGTTTCCACGGGTCTCTTCCCAACAGGGTGGCGTTTGCAAGGCAAACAGCGGCATTACGCACGTGCTGCAGGCATCTAAGGAGGCTCGCAGGGCTCCAGCGCGCCCTCCTGTTACTGCTGGCATTGTGCGTACGCATCAGCATCTGAAGGCGGGCCGGGCAGTGGCTTGACAAGTGCACAGCTCTTGATATTTTATATAATTTTGACTCTGATTATATTGATTTTTGAAGGGTGTAAGTGTTGACAATAGAGTTCGAGGGAGGGACAGAAATCTAATTTTTGTCATTCATTCGTGTAATACCATTTATTACGCCAGAAACTGTCTTGGCTGCGAGGGTCACGGGCTGAGCAAGACTCGCTCTTGTCCCTTGAAGAACTTGGAGCCCTCACGTCAGTAAAGCACGTGGACATGTGACGTGCGCCCACGGGGAGAACATGGGTGGGGCAGACACTGGAGTGGAGCAATGCGATAACTTCGTTCGATGCCCCCCCAGGACGGGGACGCAGGGCTGGGGTGCCCCACACGCGCCCGAGGGCATGGCGAGCCGGCGCCTTGGAGGAGGACGCCCCACAGCTGGGCCGCACAGAGGGCGTAGGAGTCGGCGGGGCGGGTGAGCGCGGGAGATGAGACTGTTCACGAGAAAGCAATCACTGAAGTATAATTACGGCGTTTTTGGAGCCAGGAATTTTTCCTTTTGTTGCATCCTCTGTGTACCACTTGTGTGCGTTCAGGGAAGGAATCCAAATTTATAGCATAAGTGAGATAACAAGCGGGCCTATACAGCATGAACGCACCCAGTGTTCGTAACTCTCTGTAGGTCTTAAATTTCTGCTGACTCTAACTTATTCACAGAGCCAGCGGCTCATCTGGCCTTAGCCGGCCGACAGGACTACGAGAGTCCCGGTTCTAAATAAAATAGCCCTTACCAGAATGTCAAGGTCATGTGATAACGAATTCCTTTCCCAGACGGCAGAAGTTCCAGCCCTGCCCAGCTACCGTGTGACTGATGGATAGCCCTTTTCCATTTTATTTCAGGGATCAGCTGTGAGCCACACAAATCCACACAAAAAAACAAAAATTGAGGTCTACTGGAATGCTCCACAGAGTGCCCCAAATCACGTACAGTTTCTGTGAGTAGAAAGAAGAGTGAGCAGCTTTATAGCTGGTATAATCGACTCAGTCATGGTCTGGATCACGTTTTCGTGCCTGTTGGGCATTCGCCTGCCCTGGAGAGGCTCAGTGGAGCACTGCGGGCCCCGGGGGCTGCAAGCGGCTGTGTTGCCTGTTCTGTTTGTCTTTCCACCGGCCTGCGCCCGGCGCCGGCCCCTTCCCAGGAGGCACCTCATAGACGCGCGCACGCCGAGCTGTCGATAATCCTGGAGGGTGCAGGGTGCCGGGCTGCAACTTCTGTAGATTTGCTCCCGTCTTGGTGTGAGCATGTGAAAAAAAGAAAGCGGTCCTGAAATTCGGGTGGCTTTTGTGCAGCGTTGTAAGTTGCCGGTTAGGTTGTCAGAGCACGTGTCCCCTAATCCTAATAGGATGTGGTCACGTCACACGATGAATGGTTCCTGAGGGGCTCTGCGGAATCGCCCTCCCGACACGGCTCTGTTTCCCGCTCCGCTTGGTGCGCGGGCCCCAGCGCTCGGTAACACAGCTGTGCCCCTGTGGGTCGTGTGACCTGTGAAGAAGGGGGTGTCACCCCCTCACAGCTGATGGTGGCTTCTGCAGCCTCTGCGTAGCCTCTGGCTCTGGTGGTCTGCCACCTGTGCCCTCTGAACCGAGCACCGCGAGACGAATGAGCAGTAGTGTAGTCTTTACACGGCGGGGGGAATCTGTGAGGTTTCATCTTTGGGTCTGGCTTTGGGGATATGCCGTCAAAAGAAGACAAAGAAGAGAGGAGAGGGGGAGAGGCGGGGGCGGGGAGGGAGTCATCAGAGGTTTGTTAGCACTACCGAGTCCTGCGTCCCTACTTCATTCCCTTTCTTCCCTTTAAAGCTTCGATTCGATTGTGGTGGTGGCCCTCGGCCCACCCCGGGCTCTGGCTAACCTCCTGGTACTGCATTTCAGAGTCACGGTTGTTGAGAAGTATAAAACCTACTGGGTGAAGATTCCTAGTCCTGTAATTTCACAGCCAAACGCACTTCCTTTTTCAACACCTGAGGCTACGGGAGCACCTTTGTCAACCTTCCCTCCAGTCTCCCACTTAACCACACCGGTAAGTAACCTTTGACGGCTCTACCGCATGCAGCCTGGAACAGGGGCCTCCCTGGAAATCATCGTCTGCGCTTGGTGACGTGTGCAGAGGTGGCGGCACCGAGCTGGGTGGCAGCATTTCGGGGTACCCGTGGGAACTCTGAAAGTCGGAGTGAACGGGGTACAAGACCCTGCATGTTCAAGGCATGGTCGTGGCATTGGCACGTGGTCCCTGCCTGCAGTAGTTTGTTTTCTTCTGGAAATAACTCTGAGGAAGCCGCAGCAAGAGCTCGCTCCCTCCCTCCCTGCGTATCCCTCCCGCCCCCACCCCCTTCTTTCCACCACCAAACATCAAGCATGGAGCCTGAGCTTGGAGCTTAAGCGGCAATCAGGCAAGATTCGGGGCTCCGCCTCCGTTCAGGAAGCCCGCGAGCCCCGGGGAGTTCCCCGGCGGGAGCCTAGGAGCTCCTGCAAGAGTCTCCACCAACCGAGGAAACAGATCTCATGAAGCGGAGTGAATTCGTGTTTCTTGAAGGCAGTTCTGATAAATTAGGCTTGTTACTTCCAAAGCTGATGTAATGAAAAATGTCTTAAAGCAGGTTATCACAGCCAAAAGAAAAAACTTGAGCTTGAATCCTGACTTGTCTACTTTGCATGTGACTTTGGACAAAGTACTTAATTCTGAAAGTGTCAGTTTCTTTGCCTATAAAATGAGAATAATATCTAACTCTTAGGTAGTATTACTATGAGAATTAAACAATATAGTGAAATAGAAGTTTTCTAACTGCCCGACACTAAATGGTTATTCAATAAATATTAGTTCCTTTTTTGTTTTCCTTCCTTTATCTTTTTATAACTCTCTGTTCTTTTAGGGAAGACCAAGTAGAACACTTGTGCTTCTATGCAATGTCTTTTTGTTTTCTTTTTCTTCTACCTTTTACAAATTTGAGACTTAGATTTAATTATATTATTAATATTGCCCTCTTGTTTGACCATATATTTCGATCTATTATTTGCACTACTTCTTAGTTTATTTAGGCCTCATGTTTATTGATTGAAAAGCCGCGTTAGGGGAAGAAACAGCCAGGCTGGACCTGTGCTTCCCAGGAGGAATCTGTTGACAAGGTGGTGGTTTTTCCCTGTGTTCGGAAAAAAGGCGGTGGCTCTCAGCGCTTTCGTTGCATGTCGGCGCCCGGTGCCCAGCCTCTCAGGCGGAGAGGGTCACGCCGAGCCCGGATCGCGGCCCGTGCAGGGCGGGAGGAGCCTGCGGGTCTGTTCTGTCCGGCCCCTGCCGCGGGCCGACGGTGGGGGGCCCTTCAGCCCACAGGGTGGAGCCGGGGAGAGGGCAGAGGCCACCCCAGCCGCCTGGTCCCGGTGGCTCGTTTGCCTCCTCCTCTGCCTGCTCCTCATGTTTCTGGGAAATGGCCTGAAATGTACACAGGTGTTGGTGTCTGCCCTCGCTCCTGCTAGTCTGTGACCCTGGTTTGCGACACAGAGCTTCTGACCCCTGAAATCCCTGAGTGACAGGCGTGTCGGGCACAGAGTGCCGCGGTCTCCTGGGATTTCTGGGTTGACAGGAACAGGCCTCGTTCTAACGAGGGGGCTTTGGGTGGCTCCTGGACGGGGCATCACCAGAAAGACCAACCAAGGAGAGATGCTTGGGACTGGCCACCCCATGAAATCTCCATGAAAACCTAAAAAGTGCGGGTTTCAGAGCCCTCCTGGGCCAGTGAGCCAGCTCCCAGGGCGCCGGCCGGTGGGGCCCAAGTGGCGCGACGCTCGGCACCCCACCCCCGACGGGTGCCCTTGCGCCGCTTCCCCCCGGCTGGCCCTGGGTTGTGTCCCCTCACAGCAAACTGGAATCTCGTGTGTCGGCTGTTTCCTGACTCCTGTGAGCCGTCTCAGTAAATGGTCAAACCCAAGGAGGGGACTGCAGGGGCCTCTGGTTTGTCCGAGGCACAGGGGACAGCCCGGGGCTTGGGAGGGGCCTCGGAGCGGGGCTGCCTTGCGGGGCGAGCCTGTCGCCTGTGGGTCTGGCACTGACTTCAGGTCGATACTGTCCGAGCGGAACCGAATCGCAGGACACCCAGCCGGTGGCCACAGGGACTGGCAGAATTGCTTACTGTGGGGAAAGCCCGCCCGCCACGTTTGGTGGCCAGAAGTCCTGGTGGAATAGAAGAAGAAATGAGTGTTTTCTTTTCGGTCCCTGTTAAATCTGGTTACATGAAGTAACGTAACCAGAAGTAACGTTTAGCTGTCTCCTGAAACGTGCTGTCGCGACACACGAGACGCCTGCTCCTTTTCTCTGCCAGGTTGTCCAGCCAGCGTTTCCGATTCTCCTCCTCTTCTCTGCCGGACTGAGACGCCCTGAATTCAGTCCTTACACATGGCTCTTGTTGCTTCCCGCTAAGCTGTTCCTCCTGTTTGGAGTGGCGATGTATGTACATAGGAGCTACGTAGGACGCCTTTCCTCTTACGTTATTTTAATACCGAACTTGAGCCAAATTCCAGAAGCAGAATCCAGCATCTAAATATAAAGTTTTGCAAAGGTTTTGCTCATTTGGTTTTTAAAATTCCACCTCTGAAAACCCGAGGGTGCCCTCTCAGCGAGAATGCCAATGTGGACTTAAATATTCCTTAAGAGGTTTCTCAGAATTTACCAGAAACTTTGCTTTGCTTGGGAACATAATTAAAGTGAAATATTTTGTGTATTAAAGGGACCTTAATACTTGTGCATAATTACAGTCCAACGACCGTGCCTTCCAAAATTTAATTAAAATGAACTGAGTTTAGAAGTTCACGACCTCGCGGCTGCCCCGCTCATTGCCCATCTGGGATGTGTCTTCTGTTCCCTTCCTTGAATCCTATTATGAGGAGGTCGGCTTGTTAAAACCTGTCCTTGGAAGGGAGCTGCCTGTTTGAGAATGAAGACTTTCTGCCCTGTCATTTTTCTAGTTCAGTGCCTCGGACTGCGGGAACAAGAAGTTCTGTGTTCGGAGTCCTGCGGCCTGTGACCCGGAGAAGGAGCGAGCCTGCGTCTTCCTGTCCTTCACACGAGATGACCAGTCAGTGGTGGTTGAACTGAGCGGTCCCAGCAAAGGCTACCTGTCCTTTGCGTTTTCCCGCGACAGATGGATGGTTGGTACCTCTCACGTACACGAGTGGCAGTGGCATCAGAGACACTGCAGTGCGCTCCAGTCGGTGGTGGTTTAGCTGTTTGTTCCAGAGCCAAGTTATCGCACTTCAGGGGGGATGGGAAGGGCAGGGCAGAGTCACTGAGAGCAGATTCGAAGGCCGACGGCTTCGAGTGTTCCCTGCTCGAGACAGCCGGGTGACTGCGTATGTCAAAGAGCAGGCCGTCCTGAGGAACGTGAGGGAGATCATTTTATTTCCAGTGGACTTGCTTCTTTTTCCTTGTGTCCATCGCTGCCTGTCTGTCCCTCTGTAATAAAGCAGGAAGAGTAGTTAAAAAAAGTTGCTTTGCATGGGGTCTCGTGCTGTCCGCGATGCTTTCCAGCCCCTCGTGGTTTTCTCACGTGGCTGCCCCGCAGCCGTGGGCTGAGCTCCTGTCCTCGCTCTGGTAGTCACGGGCGCATTTCCCAAGCAGGGACTTAGGCCCGGGTGTCAGGCATAAGTGTGCTCTTCCTGGGTGGTGCCTTTGGCTGAGCTGCAGGAGGCGGCCGTGTGTGCGGCTGATGCCCCTCTCCCTGCGCAGTGGGTGCTGCGGGCTCCCACAGTTTTTCTGCGGCCGCAGCCTTGTGCTGCGGGTGCCGTGGCGTCCTGATTTCCGTGGGACAGCCACCAAGAGTAGGGTGGCTGGGACCTGTTCAAGCAGAGTTGGCACTGAGGGGTGGGGATGTGCTCAGATGGAGACCTCTCACCCGCACATCAGCGAGGGCGCAGAGTCTGTTCTCGAGGGTTTTCATTCCATCAGGTTTTAAACTTTGCGCCACTTCTTTAGGGATTCGCACTTCGGAAAAGGCAAAGGGGCCCCCAGGCTGTGAGGTGGGAGGACGGCGCGTCCCCTCCACGTGCACTCTGACCGGGCCGGTCTCTGAGTGCGGCCGCTGAGTTTTCCAGGAGGCCAGACGTGACTTTCTGATTGCGGGAACATTGCCGTCTATGCATATGACCTCTATATTTTATTGCGTAGTTCTAGGATGCGCTCGACTTCTTTCATTAAACAAATGATATACTTACACCTACCAGATATAAGATATGTCATATACTTTTAAAAACGTGTAAGAAATTATGACTCTTTCCCCTTCAAAGTTGATTTTGTGGGAAATATTGTACTCGCTCAGAGGACGGTGCAGTTGTTCAAAACCTGGCGCACAGTTCCCTCTGGTACCTGCCGGCAGAACTGCGGCCTGCGCTTTTGGGTGTTCTCAGTCCTGGCAAAAAAGCCACGTCTGGTGCGCCAGGCGGACGATGAGGCTGGGTTAAAGTTAAATGGTGGGGGGCAGGGTGCTTTAGAGCAAGAAGGAGAGACAGGGAAAGGGGCAGAGCTGGCTGTGGAGGCAGCCGTGTGATGAGTCCAATAGGTTTAACAGCGGTGCCCGGTGAACACGTGTGTGGTCTTATTAAGGTTCGTTTCTATGGCACAGTCCTCATCTAGGTGTGTGTCCTAGTCACTTATAGAAGAAACTCCCCTGCCACTTCCTCGCTTCCTGCATTAGGGGACGAAATCTGTGGGCAGGAGGAAGAGACTCTAGTGTTGCTTCGCGTCGGGTGGTGCAGAGCCTGCGGGTAGACCAGTTGTCTGCACGCTATCTAATTCAGGGAGTGTTTATCTTACTTATGTTTCTGGTGTAGTACTCATCAAAAGTGTTTAGGAAAAAGGCTTAATTATATACAGGTGCATTTGATTCACAGAGCAGTCCTATTTAATGATTCAAATTATCTGTACACCTGTTAGCCTAAGTAAATCATCCTTGAAAATATTTTTAAAGTGGTTATTTCTATTTTTAGTTATTTTTAAATTTTTAGGATATTTTTGTGATTTGCTGGGTCTTTCCAGTATGAAATGTAAATTTAAATACTGAAAATATGTCTTGAATACTGATTAAATAACCTAAATTATACCTTTTTTCAATCAGGCTTGTAAATTAACAATAGCAATTGTTTTGATGTCAGGCTGCATCATTAAAGTGGATGAAAAGTATAATTCCTCATATTTTTGTTAGTAATGACTTGCTAGTATCTGAATTTTAACTGACTTCCAAAGACTATACATCATCCTCATCTCAGATATTTTAAAAAATGACATCAAGTATATCAAGTATACAGTATAGTAACTTCTGTTCTCTTCCCTTCGCTGCCCAGTATCGTCTTGTTCTATAAACAGTTTCTCAGCATTCAGATTCTAGAAGGTTCCCAGGCCTGACCTCTCTGCACTCTAGCCTGGGATGGCTGGCTGCTCTGGTCCAGATGAGTGTGTGGCTGGCCGCCACAAACCGTCTTCCCTAGAACTGGATGTGCTCGCTCCCTCTCTAACGTCCTCTGCGTCCCCCAGTTCTTGGTGATCAACAGTAATAAAAAAGCGGCTGCCCTCATTGACGTCTTGCTTCTGTTCGGATGCTGTCTGGGCAACTTGTAGACTGTCTCGTTCCCCGCTGCCGCCGCCTTCTCTGGCGTCCAGGGAAGCTTGTGTTGCCACTTAGATTCCTCCTTTCTGTGCGCCTCTCAGGTCCTTCTTTCTCTGACCCACCCCCAGCTTTTGTTTTGAGGAGTTTTAAACGCACATGAAGGTTGAAAGAACATTACAGCAAATGCCAGGAAGCCTTTCCCCTACAGTTGCCACTTTACCCTCCCCTCCCTCTCATTTGCTCGCTCGCTCTCCACGTGTGCTTTCTGTGTGTGAGTGTGTGTATAGGTTGATCTGTGACGCACGTATAAAAGAATTCTATGGTTCATTGATGATAGCCATTCTAGAAGACACACAATTTGTTTAAATTAGAGCTGAGAACTTCTTCTGTAGAGGTCCAGACACTAGCGGTAGGATCTATGAGCCATGCGGTCCTGGTGGCAGCTATTTGGCTCCGTTGTGGTGGGGCTCAAGCAGCCAGAGGCATTAGCAGGCCTGTTGTGTTCCAATAAAGCTTTATTAATGGATGCTGAGATTTGGATTTCATATATGTTTACCTTTCACGAAACAATGTTCTTCTGTTTTTAATTCAGAGAAAAACATTTGGGCACGTAAACACCATCCTTGGCCTGCGGCCTGCGCAGAGGCAGGCTCTACGCTGAGTTTGGTCTGTGCACCTTCTTTCCTGAAATGCTGGCTTAGTTCACAGCGACTCCAAGTTTCGCACCTTGAGTTGGGCTGATTCTGAGTTGAACATAAGATGCATAGCAGGGAATAATCACTTTGCTAAGGTTATGCACTAGAGGGTTCTCAAAAATGGAACTTCTAAAAGTCCAACTAAAACACGTTAGAATGGCAGAATTTACTTTACCTGGCTGTTCTGGGATCTTGTTTATGAAGCTTAGTGACTAAAGCCCATAAAATACCTTGTTATTTGGAATAGGTGAAAGAACCAAAACTATACGCAATGATTTAAAATCTAGACTATACATTTGTACCTTAAAGGGATACCATGCACTGTGGAGATGCAGTTTGCCCTTTGGTAGTCAGTTTAAAGAAGATGCAGCTTTTAGAGCCAGGGAATAGTAGAGATGAAGGGATATGCAGGACTTAGGCTGCCAGACAACGCCACCTGGAGCGCGGATGTTCTGGCCTCAGCCTGCCACACTGACCTGGACTGTGTACCTTCTAAGCAGTATTTGATTACAGGGTCTTCCATCTTAAAAGTTACTCCCCAAACCCAATATAATGCAGGGCACTTCCAGTCATGAAAATTTGTAAGGCATGGATATTGATTTACAAATATCCAGAACAATGTTCATAATAAATTTAAAAAGTAGCAAAACTGTGTATTTTCTTATTTGGAGAGAAAAACAGGTATAAATAGATTTGGATGAATGTATATGAGAGCATTCATACTGGTGATGGGCTCATGAAGGCATAAACGGGTGTATGCCTCGTTTAGCCTAATTTTTATACTGAAATTATATTGCTTTAATATAATAATAAAATCATTTTGATTCATAAATTGGACAGCCAGTTCTCTAGAATTCATAGTATCATGTAAGACTGTCAGTAAATGATGTTTTAAAAATATCAAATACTATTTGATTTTATTAAGGACTTAAACAAAATAAAATGTTGAAATTCCTGTACACTTTTCTCATTTGCAATTGGTTTCCAGGGCGACGATGATGCTTACCTGTGCGTTCTCGAAGAGCAGACGGTGCACATCCGACCCTCCCACCTGACGGGGCGGAGCCACCCTGTGATGGACTCCTGGGTAGGTGCGGGAGTTCTGGGACCCTCCGCCGGGCCCGCCCCCTGCGGGGAACGGGGCTGACCCGCGCCGCGTCTGCGCGAAGCGGCCTGTCTGCAGCAGTACCTGAGGAGGCCCGGCTGCAGGGTCCTCCCTTATAATACTCCGCACTTTATTTTTATTGTTTTACTATACATATATACAATTTATATATATATTTAAGGTGTGCAACATGATGTTTTGATATACATAGTGAAACGATTACTGCAGTCAAGCTAATTAACATATCCATCTTCTCATACGCTTACCGTTTTTTTGCAGTGAGAGCACCTGAAATCTACTCTCTTACCAAATTTCCAGGATTCACTACAGTATTATTAATGGTAGTCACCGCGTTGCACGATCGATCTCGAGGCTTACTCATCCCACATAACTGCAACTCGGTGCCCTTTGAGCAACAAGTCCCCTTTTCTGTGCTTCAGGAAGCACAAGACAAGTTTCTCTTCGGGGAAAAGATGAATTCTTGCTTGTGCCGCGTAAATGTCTTTCATTGCATCTTACGAGAAATAACGGATGGCTTGCTGAGATGGTCAAAGCGGCGACCCTTGTCAGCAGCTTGTGCGCAGATTTTTAAAGAAGAGGCTCACGTTAGTGATGCAAGAATAAGCAACAAACAGGGGTGCCTACGGTGGGGCCGGGTCCCGGGCCATGGGCAGTTGTCTTAAGTGGCCCTTGTTGGCATCTGTGCCAAAGGTGGAGACATGTCTTTTTCACAAGGGCGGTCGACCAGCAAGTGAGCTCCGGGGGAGCAGGAGCTGTGACCTAGTGAGAGGGCGCGTGCTGCGCCTGCTCCCCCCCGGGGGCGGGTGCCCACAGGTGGGCGGAGCCTCTCCCTGGTTGCACCATATGTTTTGGCCACTAGGGTTTTATTTGCCAACTGTTTCTTCAGGGTTTGTGATTGTTAGCGGCCAGATGGAGTTTTATATCTGCTAAAGTTTCTCACCTGCATAGGGGAACTGCGGGGTTTTGACTCAAAGTAAAAATAATTCTTTTGCCAAGTGGGATAAAGACAAATAAACTGGGAGACAATGTCTCTTGTACTCTTCAAAGAGGAAGTGGTGAAACAATGGCACTGCAGACGAAACATGTGCCGCGGGATCTTAGGGAAAGGAAGTGGGACGTGTTGGGATTTTGGCCACATCTTATTTTCAGCGATGCTTTGGAAAGTGCTGAGAAGACCCGCTGTGTGTGTTTGTAGGATACTCTTGAGGATATGGCTTGGAGGCTGGAGGATGGTGTTATGCAATGTTCTTTCAGAAGAAACATTACCCTTCGTGGGGCAGAGAATAGATTTGATCTCAACACAAGCTACTACGTATTTCTAGCTTCCGGTGCAGCTGAGGAAGGTAAGTGCGGTACATTGATAAAAACTGCCTTGTGAGACATTTTTCTCTTCTCTTCTCCCTTCCCCCCTATTTTTGGAGTGGCTACTGTAATTGCTTATTTTTAAGATATATACACTTGTGGGTAAAGATTTATCAAAACCGTTTTCCGTTTTGCCTTCCATGTTGACCTTGGTTGATCTTCAAGCTTTGTTTCCCTAGAAAGTAGATAAGGGTAGTGTCAGCTATGTTAGAAGGCACCATGCATATGACAGAAGTGATTTCTGGCTGGTAAACAGCGCTCAGCCCAGGAAGAACTAGAGACACGTGGTGAGAAAAGCCGTATTGCGGGACCTCCCTGCGTGCAGTAACGTTGGCAGATCCCTTGCAGGGGCGCTAGACGCAGGGACTTGGGGGCTCCTGTGGGTTACCCGTCCCGTGTGAATCTCCTCTCCTTGGATCTGAGCTTTCTCCAGGGAGATGGAGAGGGCGGAGGGTTGGGGCAGAGCGGCTCCGGGTCCCTGGGTCCCCCGCTGCAGCGCCTCCCGTCAGGGCTTCCCGGCACCCGGCTGTCCCCGGGCCCCATCTTCCCGAGTGGATCCCATGCCAGCTGCAGCCTTGAGTCGTTTTATGCTGGAAGTTGTTTTATCCTTCAGAAGACTACCCGGGCGGCAAAGCAACACGTATGAATGGGAAAAATTAGATTTTGTTCGAGGTCTTGGCTAACGATGTTTGGAAGAGCTGCGGGAAACGCCCAGGTAGTCTCCAGCGACTTACCTCTCTGGAGGTAATGCTGCTCCCGGACTTGCCTTTGACGGTGTCTCCTGAAGTGTGGGGCTCACACGACCTGCTTCAGAGCCTCCTGGCGCAACTGTCAAAGTGCAGGTCCCCGAACCCCACCCCGGGCCCACCGGTCCCTCCCGGCGGTGCGTGGAGTCTGCCGCCTGCGGCGGCGGCTGCGTGTGCTGCAGTGTGGCACCTCACTGCTGTGGGACAGAGCTCTCCCACGACGACGTGCACTGTGAGGCGGCCAGGGACACGGGGGCAACGCCAGAACTTTCTCTTGCGATATATCTGATCTCATTTTAAAAATTCTATTTTAATGTGTTTTACAATGTTCGTAAAGTTGTTGTAGAATACATTACATAACAGCTTATTCATGTACTATACATATATACCATATATAGTATATATTATGTCTATATGTAATTATATTTGCTATACGCATATAAATACATACTGCACATGTCCTGTGCATACATAAATATACATATATCGAGCACAGACTCATTTTTTTAAACTGGTGGAATGGAAAGCAAAAAAACCAAACCAAACCAGTCCTCAGGAGAACAAACCTGGGCATCACTTCTCCGGGGAACTCCTTCCCAGCTTCCTAGTTTTGGGGGGCAGAGCAGTGACCTCCTAAGCCGTGCTCTCTTCTGTTACCTAGGTTATGTGTGTCTGGACCCCTTACAGGTTGCATTCTGCTTAAAAGCATAAGAATGGAATTTTCATGTAATTTTAGAAACTATTTCCTACGTCAGCAGGCATGTTGCCCCTTTCGTTTCTAACACTGTTTGTGGTATTTCTTTTTGTCTAGTGGTCAGAGTTGCCAAAAACTCAGACGACTTTATTGGCTTTCTATAGACTTGATTTTTCAGATTTTTAGACATAGACTTATTAGTGTGTTAATTTCTACCTTTATTTTTAATCAGTCTTTCTTTCTGATTTCCTAGGATATATTTTGTTGCTCTAAATGCATCTTGAATTAAATGACTACCTCAGTCAGTCAGGGCTTTTAAGTCTTTTTTTTAGGAAATGCTTTTAGATGATAAAAACTTGTTGAATAGGCCCTTGATTGCATCCCATGGGGTTTGAGATGAAGTGTCTTCATTGTTACTCACAGCTAAGAAGACCTGTGATTTAGTTTTGATTCCCTATTTAGCCCAAGAGCTATTTAGAAAAATAGTTTTGTAAATGTCTAGGTGGACCATTTTTTCTACCTTTTTGTTGGTAATTTTTGGTTTTGTTGCATTTTGGATAGATAATATAACTTGTTTTCTGTGAAATTCTTTCTTTTCTGGAAATTATTACCATGTACTCTGTGGTCTGATATGTATTTTTGTTTGGGACATTCACATATATATATATCTATATATATCAAATTTCTTAATTATTTTTATTCTTTTTGACACTTGCATTATATTCTAAAAATAATGTATGTTCCATAATTTATTTACTTATTTTCCTAATGTCCATTTATCTTGTTTAAATTTCTTCTGGCTAGCATAAAAAATGTTTCTGTGAACATTCTTGTACATATATCTTTGGGTAAAAGGTGAATATTTCGGTGGGGTAGATTGTCACATACACACATACATACACATACAAATTAATTGGAATAACTATACATTCACGGATTTAGATTTATACATAATAATCTGTTCTCAAATTGTTTACATCACTTTTCTTTGAGATTTTGGCTTATTAGTCAAACCCAGTCCGAATTGACCACATAACAAATAACATGGCATGCACATGTTTCTGTCTTTCTCCAAGGCCCAATTTCTGTTAGTTCAGTCTAGGAGTCTAGATTTTTAAAAATGTATTCTCTTTCCAGAATTATACTTGACATTTTTAATGATTTTCCATCCTAGTAACAGTAAGTATTTTGGCTAAACATTGTTTGTGGGTCTTTCAGCATCATTTTTATATTCTCAGTCCTCACTTTGATTCATGCCTTGGTTGGCTAAATTATTGGTATTTCTTTAAGTTTGTTTTCAGTAAGGCCATGAGACCTTGCATCTGTATTTATGTTGCTTTTGTAAATGAATGGCATCTCTGTTGATACTTCTTTTTTGGTATTTTAAGAAACTTTGTCTCCATGTTGGGATGCTGTCTTTCCATTCTTTCTCTCTCTTCTGAGGAACTAATTCTTCTTCATCTTTTCCCCTCCTTTGTATAATTTCAGGCCGAATTTATAGGCATTCCCAGCAACCGCTGATTACGGACGGCAAATATGACGTGACGGATCACCCGGAGGACGTGGGAGGGTCCCGGTCTCCGCTCCTTCTGAAGGCGCATGGTGAGTGAGCTGCCGGGGTGGCCGTGCTTTGATTCTGGGGCCAATTTGCCAGCTGACTCGGCGAGGCTGGGTTAGGAATGGTGGTAAGCATGATTCCCCAGGCGTTCACAGACCTCCTCTGGGTAGCCGTCCACCATCGCAGGTAGCAGTGTTCGCCTTAGTGTTTGCTAATTCTCACTAAAAACAGAGACGAGGGATCATTCAGTGGCTTTAACCTCGGCTGGAGTGCAGAGCGCCAGTGGAGCTTTGAAGGCACCTGTTGCTTCAAAAAGTGTCCTCATGGTTTCCAACTGAATGTCCCTGGGTTATTTAATTTAACTTTTACGAGACCTTAATTCTGTCGGTTATTATGGTAAATGCTGATAAAAGAGTAGTTTGTGATTTTGATTTTCCAGTAGCAGCGTGGTTTCCAAGACCCAGGTGGTTGTTGGAGAATGATCGGTGCGCAAGTACTTGAGGGTGTTCAACGTGCTCGGTCTGCACGTAGGTGTCTGGTACTTACATGATGGCAGGGACCACGTTGGAAGAGCAGTGGCCTGAGAACAAGGCTCTGACCTGCTCTGTCTGGCTCTGCAGGTGATGCTGGTTCTCTGAAAAGTAGCCCCACCTATTGTTGAAAAGATGGGACTTAAAAGTAGGGAATAATGTAGTGTATACTATGCTATTACAAAATATTAGTTTTGGGGGGAAACGTTCCTCATTTGGTGTATTGTCTTTATATTCTCCAGAGTGATCTCTTCTAGTAGAGTTTCAATGAATGTTACCATAGTTGAACTTGAAAATACCTTTAAATTTTATTATTGTTAATTTGCTCCAGTTTGCAAGTAACTGGATCCAGAAATAAGGCACTTGTTTCCTTCGGGCTTTCGGGGTGCGGCAGGCGGGGCTCCCGCGGTCCCCGCAGGCTGCATCAGCGGAATGGTTGGGTGCACAGCGCCTCCAGCCAGGCCGGAGGGGGGGGTCCCAACGTGGGCCGCCGAGGGGGGGCTCCCATCGCTCCCCGGCGCCTTGGTTTCCCGTCCGGCACCACCGGAGCGATAACCGCTCCACAGGACCGTTGTGACGGGGAAGTACATTGGCGCCGGGAGAGCCCTTAGGGGCAGCGCCTGGCGCTCGGCAGGCGCTCGGGACGGGCTCGCGGCTCGCAGCACCGTGGTGCCAGCAATGCTCGGGCATACGGGGCGATCGACGTCACGCTGGGGTCGGGTGGACGTGCTCTGCTGTTTGGGGGCCTTTCCTGAGCCTTCAGCGTGGTTGTTTAGAAGCAGCTCGATTGGTCGGTGATGTCACCCGTGGTGTTTTCCGACCCGTAGGCGCCCTGATGTTGGTGGCCTGGATGACTACCGTTAGCGTAGGCGTCATCGTCGCCCGGTTCTTCAAGCCTGTGTTGTCAAATCCTCTCTTTGGTGAATCGGCTTGGTTTCAGGTAGGTGGGAGAACAACGTCACTGCGAATCCATGGTATTAGCACATGGCGACACGAAGACACGTGGAGGACATGGGTCTCCTTCCCGTGTGTGCCTGCGGTACCGCTGCTGCTGTTCGGAATCCTAGCAATTGCTTCTCTTTTGCCCTTTGGTTTCCTAACCAGTTGAGAATGGGCACAGGCACCTGCTACAGGCCGGAACACAGGTGGCTTTACCAAGGCCGGCGTGGGGGGCCTGTGTGTCCCTGGTCACGAGAACTTCGGCCCCCAACGTCTGTGTCCGGGGGCGCTGAGTACAGCGGGGCGGAGGGAGGCGGCAGGGCAGGTTGGACAAACGGCGGGCCGGCCAGCGTCAGGCCCGCTCAGTCGCCTGCGGGTGCGAGTGGGAACAAGAAGCGTTTCTCTTCCCGTTGCCCCTTGGCGTGGGAGGAGGCGCGGCCTCTCAATAGTTACCTGAGCAGAGTCAGTCAGCGCCCGCCCGACAAAGCAAAGCGAACCTGACCTTTCACGGGTCAGAGTGCAGGCTTTTGACGGACAGTGGAAGGACAGTGAGGATGTGCTGAGCTAGAAAGCACACGTCCGCCTGTGGGAAAAATACCGCTCCCCGGGTCGGCGCCCGGCGGGCTGGCGGGAGCGAGCGCGCCGTGCGGGGGAGGGTGGAGCGCACGGCTGTCCATGGAGGTCGGCGCTGTGCTCGGGCTTTGCACCGACCACAGGCCGGTCACGTGTCGGTCAAAGGCGGTCCTGCAGGGAGTCTCACCCGCGATCTCATCCCCACGGCAGCGCCCGCTCCTTCCTCTGACAGGTAACGGTCCTCTTGCCCTGTCCCTCCCCCTTGCAGGTGCACCGAACGCTCATGCTCACCGCGTTGGCCATCACCGGCATCGCTTTTGTCCTGCCCTTCCTCTACCGGGGAGGCTGGAGCCGGGTAAGCACCGTAAACTGGGTGTGTTTTGCGTGTGTGCACTTCGAAGTCAAAGGCGAGTCTGTTGTGATCTCCGATGGCGGGCGAGAGGCTCTTTCCGCGTGTACCCCTCTCTCTTTGAATCACCTGAAGACGGTTTCACACTGGCGGGGGCAGGGACGGGGTGCGTGTGTCCGCGCAGGTTGCTCGGGGATGAAATGCGGGGCGAGGCTGCGGCAGGCGCTGCGGACGCCCGGTAGCTGCGGTGAGTTCCCCGCCGCAGAGAGGCGGGAGCGCCACGTGCGCTGCCACCGGAGGCGCGGGCGCCAGGGCTGGGGGTGGGTCTCCTTCGTGGACACTGTGACGTCCGCTGAGCTAGCATTCGGTGCCGTCCTACCGTCCTACCGTGGGACCGGCCCTGCGAGGCGTTAGTATCGCATGTAAAACCCCCGAGGAAGTGGTTGTGAGAGTAATCCCGCGTCACAAATGAAGAAACTGAGGCCGAGCCCCAAGAGTTTACCTCCAGCTCAGACCTCGCGCCTGGCTTGAGACGCACGCGCCGCAGTGCCCCGGGACGTGAGCCCGCCTCAGCGCCTCATCCTCGGTGCGTCCCGGCGGGGCTCCTGGCCTTTCCTCCCCGGCCGCCACCTCCGGTAGCTGGCGGCACCTCCCCTCCAGGGCTACAGCGCGGCCGCGCCCTGAGCTCTGCGCTCTTGCGCGCCCCGCCTCTGGCCCAGGAGGGGATCCACCGGCCCCAGTGCCTCTCCCCGCCAGGGATACACCTCCGTGGGTCTCAGCGCCAGCCCCCGCTGTCCAGACTGTCGCCATGGGCGCCAAGACGGCGGCATGGTTTTTAAACAGCGTAAATCCGGTCATGTCGTGCCTGTGCCTCAGACTGGTTTTTTTAATGTCTCGGCTTTATTCAAAGTTATAGGTCGAGTCTGTCCAACAGCCTCCCCGACTGGGCCCCCAGTGACTCTCTGACCTACCCCCCGACCCCGCACCAGCCCATCGCCCCGCCCTCCTGCGCTGCGCGCCCCCCCCCCCACCAGCTGCCAGGCAGGCTGCTGCTGGGGGCTTGCGAGGACTCGCTGCCTCGGTCACCCCCTCCACCCGCACCCCCTCCTAGTCTTCGCGCAGGACGGCCTCTCACAGCACCCGCCCTGCTCTGTTGTTTCCATATGTCCTGCCACGTAGTTTGTTTATTATGCCTTTCCTCTGCCCGCCTCCCGCACCAGTGTGCGAAACCCGTGCGCCTGACGCACCTGGGGCAGATTCTGGGTGCTCAGTGGATGTTTACTGAGTGCATGAATAAGGCTCATCCAGAACGAGCGCGGTGCTGGGCTCAGAGCCTCTGCTTCTGTTGCGCGCAAAAATTGACCTCTCAGCTTTGGCCTTGGCCACCAGAGCTCTGAGGCACACCGGGGCCCCAGCAAATCCTCCCAATACACTGGGGTGGTTGCTCTCGACGCGTCCTGGCCTGGGGGGGCGGCCGATGTCTGTGGCGGCGTTGGTGGCCGTCTGCCCGACCCCCCGACGGGAGGGCGGCAGCGCCCCGCGTGTGGTCTCGCGGGGACCGCGTCCACGCCGTGCAGCCTTGGACGCGGCGTTTGGTGCCTCGGAACCTCAGCTGCCCATTTGTAAAAACGGGTTATGCACCACCAAGTGGGACGCGTCCCCGGGAGCATGAGAGGTAACGTGTGTGCGGCGTGTGCCTTCGGTGCAGTGGGCGCTTGGTGACTGGGGCCTGTCATCGTCATCGTCACCATCATCATTGCCTCGTGTTTAAGAAAACATTAAGAACGCACGCGTGCGCACTGTAATAAACGTGGGGGTTCAGCCTGTGAGCGTTCACGCGATGCGGTGTCCCCCCACCCCGTGCAGCATGCAGGCTGTCACCCCTACCTGGGCTGCACTCTGATGACCATGGCCGCCCTGCAGGCCCTGCTGGCCGGCTTCCGGCCCCCTCGGCACCACCCCAGGTACGCACAGCCGGTCTGCGGCACCGCCCTCCCTGCGGGGCCCCGGGCGGGCGACTCCCCCTCTCCCGGGAGGCGTTTGGCATTTTACGGAATTCAGGGATAAGTCCTATTTACTTGAAGGGCTGTATTATTTTTTAAAAGATTTTATTTATTTATTTTTAGAGAGAGGGGAAGGGAGAGCAAAAGAGAAGGGGAGAAGCATTGATTGGCTGCCTCCCACACGTCCCCAAGTGGGCCCAGCCCGCCGCCCAGGCACCCGTGCCCTGACCGGGTATCAGGCTGGCGTCGCAGGCCGGGCCCCCACCCGCTGGGCCACGCCAGCCCGGGTGAGCTGAAGGCTTTAGGGTGCATTTCACACAGCTAGCTCCTAGGCTGTAAGAGGAATTGCAGGCTTTCTATTCCCTTGGGAGATAATTGTAGTTCTGTCTCTTCTGAGCATCCTGACTGCCCCTTTATTTTGGCAGAAGACGCCTGTTTAACTGGGCTCACTGGGGGATGGGAACGGCTGCTCGAATCGTAGCAGGTGAGTGACCCGGACCCGCCCTGTCCTGTGCCGTTGCCGGGCGCAGCGGTGCCACTCCGGCGTGAATAGTTTTTAGGTGCATTAGTGAATGGGGAGGTTGGTTGTTAAGGAGAAGTCAGCCTTAAACACTGAGATGCAGGAAGTCCTTTCTAGGGGTAACTGTCTAAGTCATCACTTCAGTTTTAAGCTTAAGATTTTCAAATGGACTTTAAAACTCTGCTTTTAAGACCCCCCCCACCCCACCCCGCCAGCCGAATCAACTATGTTGGCAGCCAATTCTTTAAGCAGCTCAGGTTGAGGGTCATTTGTGAGCTGGGCTGACATGGGCTGGGGCAGGGGGGCCCGGCTTTCGGTCTCCAGATGTTTCCCCCAGGACGGCGCCTTCCGGGGAGGGGTGTTGGCACCAGTCAGGGGCGCTTTCCAGTAGAGTTTGATGCCTCAGGTGGCCCCCAGCGGAGGTGGCACCTGCTGCCCCACGCGCCCATCGCCGGGGCCCTGTGGTTGGGGGGCACAGCCCTGCGTGGATCCCACGCTCGTTTCCCTGCTTCCAGTGCGGTGGACTCTCTGCCAAGTGCGGGTGCTTCTTTCCAAGGAATCGGTAGAGCATAGTTGTAATTTCCCATCTTACACTTTCTACTCTAAAAATAAGACTAGGAAACAAAGAGTACACTAAATATTTGGTCTTCAATATTAATTGAATTCCTCTCATAAACGGTTTGAATTATGTTTTACTTGGTAGAATACGCACACGTAGACACATTCACGTTTATATATGTGACTCTATATATACAATTTCTTATACACGCAGTGGCAGCGATGTTCCTGGGGATGGATCTACCGGGGCTAAGTCTCCCTGGCCCCTGGAAAACCTATACGATGCTGGGGTTTGTCGCTTGGCACGTGGGGACTGAGATCGTCCTGGAGATACACGCTTATCGACTCTCTCAGAAAGGTAACCTGCTGAAGGAGCCATGCAACGCAGGGTCACCTTCGTATAAACCAGAGGAATATGGTTAATTTCTTCCTACTCATGGTTGACTTTTACCTGGGCGCTCATTAAACATTTCTGTCGTGATTGCTCAGTCCGTGGTAAAAACTGGACATTTCCAGCCCTCCTCTGCTATGTTGGCTCGTGATAGAGGTTGTGAGTGGAATACAGGGGGGGTGACTCTGGGCTTTGGGGGGCAGCCTCCTCTGCCAGCGCCTCACTGTGCACACTGGTCGGGCTCGGAGCCGGGGTGCGGGGCCCCGAATGCTGGAGGGACCGAACCCTGAAGTGGAGGAAGTAGGGGTGCCCCAAGGTGGCACAGGGCAGAGCGGCCGACAGGCTCCCCCTGTCTGACCGGTGTCCCGTGCGCTGGCCCTTAGGTTGCCTTGTAGTCAATGCCTCAGGTGCAGCCCTCTCCTTAGGGAGCCGGACGGGAAGGCCTGGCTTTGCGCGAGCGGCCTGGTCGGCCTTCGTCCCGGGCCGGGCGCTCTGCCTGGGGCCGCTCGGGCTGGAGACGTTAACAGAGAACGGGCGATACTTTCAACTGCCTTGCGCCCTGGCCCAAATGTCCTGTATGTCCTTTGAGCACCGCCCCACCCCCAAGTGACAAGTACAGGTGGCCTTCTGAAAACAAAACCTCTTTGTTGTCTAGTGTGTATGCTGTGACATTAGGAGCTTGAGTGGCTTTTCAATGAGAGTCAATGAACCCTGCTGCTGTTGGTTCCTGATAGGAATCCAAGGGCTTTTGCTGACCCCTGAGTTGTATTTAAAACTTGTGCTGTTATCGGAGTCTGATGCGGTGTTTATTGGCTAGAGGGTACGTGTTAACCACTGGTCCCAGCTGGTGAGAACCTGTAATACGGAGAACTTTGCAACATTTGGTAGCTTGAGATGGGAGAACATAATCGGCAAACTCTGCACGTCGGGGCATTGTCTTGATACGTTTCCCTGCACACCCGCTGGCCTTACAAACTGACGTTTTTGTTCTTGACAGTTGAGATACTGGATGATACCCGGATTCAGATCATTGAGCCGTTCACCATCGCTGATGCGGAAGTAAGTCCTTCTCTTTACTCATTGACAAAAGCCCCCGTGGTGGTAGTTTCTTTCTTTCATACGTCAACTCGTCTTCCAGGGCCACGCTTTTAAAAAGGCGGTGTTAGTGATCTACGTCTGCGGGAACGTCACCTTCCTCATCATATTCCTGGCCGCCATCAGCCGTCTGTGAGCACGCAGAGGCCTCGCCGCCGCCCACCAGGTGATCACGGCCACCAAGCCCGAGGAGCCCTGGCCCGCCAACCGCCCCGGGCGGACCCGGGGACTCTAACCTGGAAGAGCAGCGCGCGTCTCCGCGGCTCTGAAGTCTGGTCTTTAGAGGTCGGCGCTCAGCAGGCCCCTCTGGACTACACAGGGGTGTCAGTTCAGCCTTCACGTGTCATTCTGGGTCCCGAAGGGACCGTCCAGGAGAAGCGACCCTCCAGTATTTCCACGCTGAGTCCTTAAGAGTGTGAGCATTGAAGGATGTGAACAGGACTGTTTGGAAAACAAAGGATGGCACTAGGAGAAAAGAATAGAGTAAATATGCCCCGGGCTCCGAAAGTGCTGTGGTACTTCGAAGTCCGCGTCTGTTTTTACTAGCGTATCTCAATGGTCTTTTTTTAAGGACTTTTTGGGAAACTATGTTTTCCAGTCCATTTTTGGGAGAACATCCCTTGCTCTCTCTGTTTTCTTCTCTGGTAAAGGTGGAAATGGGGCCGATCCCATGGCAGGTTTTGTTAACATTTAAACATCTTATGGAGATGATCATTTCTTTCTGAGTTATGAAATGGGAGTGTGCATCTTCCTCTTCAAAGCTGTTTTTATATATTCAGCAACAGAGCTGAAGCAGCATTTTATGCGTCCATTGTTTTGACATATAAAATTTGAGTCCCATAGCCTTTGGAGATTGTCAACTTGCATTTCAAAATTAATAAAATTCACCCTTGTGGACATATCTAAATTACCCTATTTCTTTGTGGTAATAAGATATGGGCGGTTCTGTTCTGCCAGAAGTTCATGATGCGCTGATGAATGAGAATAATCAGTGTTTATTTCCTTATTGCAACAACTGGTTATGTGGCTGGGTCTCACACCTGCTATGAGGACTTCAGGCCAGTGGGTGGCGCCATAATACCGACGTTCTGCTTTGCGCTGCTCCTCGTCCTGAGGTTCATTGTCAGAGCTCAGGAAACGTCAGGGGACAGTGTGTGCCTTAAAATAAATACACTCACTCAAACTTTATTTGAAAATAAAATTGTGCCTTTTTTTGGGGGGGGGGTCGGGATTATGGGTTAGAAACTGAAATTAAGGACCATTGTTATTATGTGTTTTCTAATGGCGATTATTTGTAACAATAGTTTCATACTTCCCTTTGCATTCCAAACGAATGAATGCAACTATCTTAGGCAAAGCAAACAAGCAGAAGTGGACGTTCTTAAAATAAAAGTGTAGGGAGGCCCATTTTACTTTATTTTATTTTTAACATTTTATTTCTTAAGGTGTTCTGATTATGTTCTAATTTCTGGTTGGCGGCCCAAGGACCTTTCTTTTGGGTGAGAACAGCTTCAGCCACATACACGTTATCTTTTCCTGGGTAAAATGATGGGGAAGTTTGTGTTCTTCCTGATGTTGCTGTTTCTCCAGCAGCTTTGGGCTGAGATGTGAATTTCCTGTGTTCATGTTCTGTTGAAGTAAGTGCCAGGCTACTTACAGTCTAAATTTCTGAATGTACGTTAAAATTTTTTTTTAGCATAGAAAATTAAATGTATGTGAAAGTATTTTCCTCTGGTTTTCAGTCTAAGGGGCTTTAATGGCTACTATATTTCTCTCAATAAATTAATTATATTCCATATGTGACGAGGAAGAACTCTTTGGAGGAGACAGGCCTGGGTTAGTTTGTTTTTAAACGCGTGAGCTGGTTGCATTTCCAGTGCGGAGGCGGAGATATTCGAACTTCTTCTTTTTCACTGATTCCTCTGTTGGCCCTGTGTGATATATCATCCATTGACAGGGAGTTGTCCAAAGAAGTCTTTGTTATTTAACTTTAATGGACCAAACCTTTTCAATAATACCAAATTAAGATTCTTCTGCTTATGGGTGGTTGATATCCCCAAACTGAAAATGCCTATTCTTTACTTATCTCAGTTTTTCTTTCTGTTTTTGTAGTAAGCAATCTGGGTAGTTTTTTTTTTTTTAAACGAATTTCTTTTGATAGGAGTGATTGTTAAATGCCTTTATATCAGGCATTTAAAATCGTAAGTGTCTTAAAGACGAGTGCTTCTATGAAATAAAAATAAGTATGTTTTCTGGGGAAAAAAATGAGACCAATTCTGGGAGAGTGTGGCTAGGGGAGCATGCATAGTAGGGGCTTTTTTGTTCCCCGGTGTCTGGCCTGTGGCATCCTCGGAAGGGCACAGGTAGCTGGGGGCCTGAGTGACTGAGGAAACGAACCCTTCGCTTTCACGCGCCCGTGGCTTTCGTCAGGGTTTTGGCCGCGATGTGTGCGCAGCGACTAGTGTTGCCGCACATCCTGCCCGGGCCACGGCGCAGCGGGAAGGACAGACGCAGCCGGCGCCCCCGGCAGCTCTCCGGCCCCGCGGCTCTTGGCCGAGCGTCTGTTTATCTTTCCGGTCCCGCGGAGCAGCCGAGACACAGAGGCCCTTGGTTAAGGTGACCCCTGTGGACGGGACTGAAGGAGGGGCTGCGTCTGAGCTCCGTCCTCATCTGGTCAGGGACCCCGCTGTGCCCTGCCACGTCCTGCCTCCCCTCCCGGCCCAGCCCCCGCTGGGACATCTCTGGGCCAGGTCGCTGGTGGCCACCGCCCCGCGGTGCCCTTTCGCTTCCTTGCTGCCTGGCCAGAGCTGGCGTGCTGGGCTCAAGATGCCCCTTGCCCTTGGGTCCTTGGTGCGGTCTGTGTCCCACACGCTCCCTCCCGTTTCTGACCGTCCTGCAGGTTTGCAAGTCACTCGCCTGCGTGGCCCGTCTGGCGGGGCGGCCGTGGGCCCCCGACCGGAGGCCCTGTGTGTCTGCGGTCCACGTTGATCAGAGTGTGAGACTGCAGCAGTTTTTACATAGAACCACGTGTATTTTTTATTTTCATAATGAAATTCGATGTTCACTTTGTAGTCATGACGTTTAGTGAAAAAGCCAGACACTAAAGGACAGCTGTTGTTCGGTTTAATTTATTCGGGGTACCTTGACCAGTCCAGCCCGCAGGGGTTGTGAGCAGAATGGTGCTGAGCTGGGGCTGGGGGAGGGCCGGCTGCCGATCCGGTTCTGGGGACGGACGGTGGTGTGCTCCACGCCACGGGTGGCGCTTAGAGCGCTGAATGGCGCACTGAAAAGTGGTTCAAGTGGTACATTTTGTGTTGTGTGTATTTTACTACCATTGAAAAATACAGAACAGATTTGCTGTCTGTAGAAACACTATTCTTCACGATAACCACAGGAAGGAAACAGATCCCGTGTCCACGAACAGATGACTGCACAAGCTAATCGTGGTGCACACGCGCGCCGTGGTGTGTTACTCAGCTGTAGTGAGGGATGAGGTGTTGGTGCGCGCGGTCATGTGGATGAGCCCTCAAAACATCACGCGACGTGAAAGAAGTCAGACACAAAAGGTCACATGATACGGTTCCATTTACATGAAATTCAGCGACAGGGAGACAAGCAGAGTGCTGGCTGCCAAGGGCTCGGGTACAGGGAGGACGGGAAGGGGAGCGTTGCGTGAAGGCGGTGCCGTCGTGTTTGGGGGTGATGGGAATGTTTTGGAGATAGAAGCGGTGGTTGCACAGTATTGCAAATGTAAGAAATGCCACTGGATGGTTCAGTTTAAATTGTTATTTTTTTGTTATGCGAATTTCACCTCAGTAAACAAATACTGGTCTTATTAATGCTCTTGGATTATATTTTTGGGCGGAAAGATCTGGTGTGTGTGTGTGGGGCTTGCTGGCCCTAAACATGTTATCCGTTTAGCTTTTTATTTTGTTATCAAAGAAAAGAATGTAATTTCGTGCTCTGCCTGGTCATATACCTCTGCTTTAGGGGAGAAAGAGTCCTCCAAGTTTGTAGAGCGTGTCTTTAGAAGTGTACCTGTGCTGTCTCATTCACACGTAAAGGAAATTGTGTTGTATTCCTTGTTTCCCGTAAGGATCTAAACACATTTTTTGATTCCCCGCCAGACACAAATAAAATATATGGCCATCACACTCGTGGGATAGGAATTCCCTGAATCTGATAATGGCTAAGACCTTGTCCAGTGGACTCTCCTCCAGAAAACTAATGTCACCTTCAAAAAAGCTGCCTGGTGTCCCCTGCAAGTGGCCAGAGCGGGACGGCCCTGGTGCGCAGGCCACATCAGGAGGGACAGGGTGTGAGGTGCCCGCCTCTGGGTGTTCGCGCCAGGGCAGTGGTGGAGAGCTGTGTGGGGTGCTGGGCAGCAGGGGACAATAGTCGGCAGCCAGGGGACCCGTGGCCGGGCCACCGGCAGCTGCCGGGGCGGGGGTGGGGCCCGAGGACGTCTGGGACGGAAAATGCCAGAGAGGGGTCCCAGCTCATCTGCCTCCAGCTCCACGTGGCTGAGCCTACGCTTGCTGTGCATTAAAGGATGCATAGGAATGGAAATGATACAATAGGCCCATTTTGGAGAGCTGGATTGGAGAGCTGGAAAAAATATTTGAAAGCATTCACTGGATAGAATTCATATTAGCAGGGAGAGGACAGAAAAAAGAGCCAGTGGATTTGAAGATATATCAATAGAAATGATCTATTTGAAGAGATGAAAGAAAAAATTTTGAAAAATAATTGAACCTCCAAGACCTGCTAGATAACGTTTTTTATTATCTCAGAAGGAAAGGAGAATCTCTGGATATAATGACTAGAAACCCCCCAAAATTTGATAAAAATTGATAATTTTACTGATTCATGTTGCAGGAAAACATCTCAAGCAGGAAATTGGAAGATAGTCACGCTTATTGAAAATCATAGTCAAACATTTTTTAAATGAGTTTTTAAAAAAGATCCTGACCTGAGGACATGTTTATTGATTTTAGAGAGAAAGGGAAGGCAAGAGAAACATCGATGCAAGAGAGACCCATCGATTGGTTGCCTCCCATTGGCACCCACACTGTGGATTGAACCCGCAGCCTAGGTGTGTGCCCTGACCGGTAATAGGACCTGCATCCTCTTGGTGTACAGGACGATGCTCCAACCAACTTAGCCACCCAGCCAGGGCCATGATCAAACTTTTGAAGGCAAAAAATACAGAGCAAATCTTGAAAGGAGAAAGAAAAACGGAACATTATACATGTATACAAACATTACAAATATTACGTTACGACATCTGATTTCTCAGGGATCTGTGGAGGCCAAAGACAGGGGAATAGCATCTTTAAAGTGCTGACAGAGAAAAAAGACAACAAGAATTCTATATAAAGAAAAAACAGCCTTCAAGAGTGAGAGCGAGTATGAAGACATTTTGTGGTGAAAGGCATCTAAGACTTCGTTGCCTGCGCGCATGCTCTATGAGAAAGGAGGGTCTTCAGACTGAAGAAAAGTGATATAAATGGGTCCAGGGATCCTCAAAGGAGTAAAGAACACTGAAAATGGTAGATAACTGGTCCTTTTTTTGGTATTTTCCTACATAAATTCTTTATAATAAATATATTGATTTTATGCAAAAAAAAAAAAAGTCTGCATTGCTTTGCGGGTTGATAACGTATGTGGCTCTAACACATTCAACAGGTGGGCATGAAGATGGGAAGGGAGGGTGGACCCCACAGTCGCACGGTGGCTGCGAGCTCTGTAAAGCGATGCAGTGCTAGTTCTAAGTGAAAAGCTCTAAGTTCTAGTGTGAAAAATTAAGGATGTGTATTGCCGTTCCTGGGGGGGAAAAGTAAGGGTGTGTGTGTGTGCGCGTGCGCAGCCAATCAGAAATTAACATGGAATTCTAAAATTCTTTAAATAATTTAATTAAAAAGGCAATAAAGGAAAAATAAAGGAGCATAAAACAGGGGCTACATAGAGAACAAAGAATAAAATGGTGAACCAGAACTCCACCATGTTCATTGTATTAAACGTTGAACAAGAAGGCAGAAGTCGAGCTGATACAAAAGTAAAATCCACAATGTGATTTAAATATAAAGGGGCAGATAGGTTGAAAGTAGACGAATGAAAAAAGGTATTCCAGGAAACAGTGAGCATGAGGAAGCTGAAATGTCTGCATCTCTCCTAGATAGTTCATTTCCGGCTGAAGAGTATCATCAGGGACAGAGACCTTTCTTAATGACTAAAGCATTAATTTATCGAGAATACATTGCAGTCATAAATATGTGCCAAATAACAGACTTTGAAGCACATGAAGAAAACGCTGACAGAATTAAGGAGGGGTAGCCATTTGTGATAAAAGCACTCAAGTGTAGAACAGGAGGAGATTTCCTCAACGTGGTCAAAGGCATCCAGGGAAAACCTACAGCTAGTATCACACTTGATGGTAATGGAGTCTACTGACCACTTTAACCTTAAGACTGGAAACTGTACAAGGGTTTGTCTGTTCTTGCTGCTTGGCATCAACATTGCATTGGAGACCTTCGCAGGGCAAGTAGGCAAGAAAAAGGAAGAAATGGCATCCAACTTGAAACGAAGTAAAACTATCCCTTTTCATGGATGGCAGAAAAGCTTAAAGAATCCAGTAAACAACTATTACAAGTAATAAATGAGCTCAGCAAGGCTGTAAGGTATAAAATCAATATATAAAAAATCAACAGCATTTCCAAACACTAGCAGTGCACAATGTGGAAAGTGAAATGAAGAAAATTCCATTCAGCATAGCATCGAAGAGAAGAAAATCGGAATGCATTGATCCAATGAAGTGTGAGACTTGCACACCAAAAACCTCAAAGCATGGTTGGCGGGAGCTGAAGAAGATCTAATGAAATGGAAGGGTCTCACGCCGAGACATTTATGGGTGTCTGTCAAAGGTGCGTAGGGGCCGATCGAAAGCTTTCGGTGGCCAAGGCAGGAACAATTCGAACAATGAGTTGTGTTGGGTTATAACTCAGGGATAAAATAAACACTGATGGGTCTGTACTGATTTAAATTAATAATTGCATAAACAAGGGAGAATAGACAAGTCTCCTGTGCAGAAGGACTTGAAATAGTTTATGTAGACATTGTGGGTGTGAGGGTTTTGTGTGGTGACTTCCGTCCACAGCATACGATACAGAAAGGGGAAAAAGGATAATTTTACGGTGGTGCAGCCCACTAGGCACCGCACTAGCCAGGCGCTCAAGGTCAGCACCCGAGGGAAACGTCCTTGGAAGTGCTGGAAGTACTTTACCGCCGCGGTCTTGCCCGCCCCAAACTCCTGGCCCCGGTCTAATCTTGACAGAAACAGCAGACAACTTGCAATAGAGGGACAGCCTGCAAAATTCATTACAAGTAATTCTCAAAGCTGCCAAAGTTACCAAAAACAACGAAAGCCTGAAAAGCAGTCACAGCCAAGAGGAGCCCAAGGAGACAGAGCCACCGAAAGTAAAGGGGTCTGGGTGGGGGCTGCTGATACAGGAAACAAGTCAGTGGGTACAGACCGAGGAAATCGGGGTAAACTGAGAGACCTCGTTAATGATGATGCATCCCTACTGTTTCCTTAATTATAACATGTCCCATACTAATGTAAGATGTTAACAAGGGAGAAAACAGGGCATGGCCTTCGGGAACCTCAGAGTATCCTCTCCATTTTTCTGTTCATCTAAAATTGTCCTTAAAAATAATGTTTTATAGGGTTAGCTGTGGTTACAAGGCCTCTTGGGATCCTGTGTCTTCTTATTTCAGGGACAAGGTGAGAGCTGTGTACAGACAACAGGTGCCTCGTGTTCGATGGAGACAGGTTTGAGTTTGGGTCGCTTCCATGTCCCCGTGCACGTTGAAGGATAAAGGTAGAGTGGGGGAGTGAAATGGGGGACCCCGCCGTGTTACTGCTGCTGCCGCGATCTGCGTTGTTTACACCATCAGACCCGCCCTTCTTTGTCCTTCTTTGCGACCCTGACCCCGTCACCAGGGCGCCTCACTCCCCTTTCCGGCTCTCCTTCCCCCTCAGCGCAGCGGCCAGCGGGCGGGTGCACGGCCCACCGTCCCCTCAGCGGCCCTGACCGACAGCCCCCTCTGCCCGCCTGGCGGCCAGTTTCCCGGCAGCTCCCGCCTCCCTCGCCTGGCTGTGCGGCCCAAGGCCTGGCCCGGAGGCTCCAGCGTCTGCCGGCTGCCTTCTGGCGCACGCCGCAGTCAGCTGGGGCTTCACAGCGCCCCCCTGGCGACTACACCTTCCCCTTCTGAGCACATACTCACTCGTTCGTCCAGTGACCACCTAGGCGTGGGGCAGTGATCTAATGCTGCGTCCAAAAAAGTCCCCCAGACCAATGCTTTACTCTCAAGGGTGGCAGAGCTGACAGAGAATGCGAAGGTTTTTCCTTAAATCCTCATGCGAGGATCTATTTATTGATTTAAGAGAAATAGAGAAAGAGAGAGAGAGAGAGAGAGAGAAAGAGAAACATCAGTCAATTGCCTCCCACATGCACCCCGGCCAAGGATAGAACCTGCAATCCAGGTACGTGCTCTGACTGGAGATCAAACCTGTAACGTTCTGGTGTATGGGGGCAAGGCTCCAACTAACTGAGCCACACAGCGAGGGCCAGAATGCAGTTTTGACAAGCCACCTCTGCTGAAGTCAGAGGCATGAAAGGGAAGGAAGGGGATCCTGGGACCTGGGGTTGGGGTGTTTGCATGAAAGTGCTTCTGAAATTTGACTCTCTAGATTTTCCAGAACATTCCAGGCCAGCGGAGGAGCTCTTTCCTCCTAGAGACCGACCAGGGAAGGTCACCGGGAGGCCGGCAGGACCTGGCTAATGGGCACCGGCCCGACCCAGGGTGGGGGGTGTGTGGGAGTGGGTTTGGAGGGTTGCTTGGGGGGAGTGGGAGGGACTTGGCATCAGGGGATCCTTCAAATTAGGGTTTCAGGTCCTGGCGAGAACACATAGGAGTAACACGCTGTATACAGTCTTACTACGTTTTAATTTTAGGATCCTAACTTGTTTACTGCAATTGGTCAAACCTTAGACCAGATTTGTGTCCCTTGAGAATATGGGAAGTGGTCCGTGCAACAACCTTAGGTCATAATCAGTCACCAAACCAGGGTTCCCATGGAACCGAGTGGAAGAAAGGGTGATATCGCGAGAAGAATGAACATGCCAGTTATCATCTGTAAAGTCATGGACTCTATCAAGCTACTCCAAATCCAGTCCCAAAATATGAGGATAATTATTGCACACGCCTTTGGGATGTGGAAGTCGCCGCCGCATCCGTGGAGCAGGTGCTCGGCGGGAGGACGTGGGGTCTTCCGGCTCTGTCGGTTAGGGAGGCTGCACTTACATGTCCACGTTGAAGACGGATATTTCTGGGATGAGGGGCAGCGGCTTCCTGTGATCTCTCATTTGTATCAGCACAATTGCAGCATCACTTAATAGACTACAGTCAGACTATTTTAAATAACTTTATTCTTAAATTTAACAAGCTCTTATTAGAAATGCTTTGGTATCAATACAATAAAAATAGGCTGGTTCCCCCACTGAATCATATCAAGTAACTGGAAAAGTTAAGTGTTTGTTCTCCCCAGCTTTTTTTGCAATTTTCTTTTTTTACAAATAGTAACTACTGCTTATTCACATGGCTTAATATGGGTATAATTATAATTTGGGGGGATCTCAAAAAAAACCCCCCAAAATATCCAGCAGAGAAAGTTGCAAACATTTCTTAGTTTCTTCTCCAGAGGATGTTTACGTAGACGGTACGCCTCTCAGATAACTTTTTTCCCCAGCTTTGCCATTCTCATCCTTAAAGCTGCGAATTAAAGAAAAAAAAAAGTAGTTATAAAAAGCCTTCATGTTCACTCTAAATGGCCATTTCATAGAATGCAGGAAAGTTTGAAACATACCTCGGATGATTTTGTCCAACAATGTGAGCATTGTTTTAGTAGCACAAAAAGATAGTAGAAATAATAAGCTATGATTAACTTAGGACAGAAGCAGGTTCAGAACTAGAAGGAACCTATTTCTCTAAAGATTAGAAAAATTAGTAGCACAAACACGGCATAAGTTGGGAAAATTTAGGATTAGTGCACCGTTTCACTATGAGCCACAGAGAAATTCTGTTCTGGTCCATGCCTGTGTCCGGTGCCTGTTCCTGAGCTACACACCACCAAGAACAAGCACCGACTCAGACCCTGGTTCATGGTTAGGTTATCTTTTAACTCCTCAGACTTCGTTAGACCGAGGGGTGCCATCCTTGGATAAAGAATGACAAGAACAGAAATCTATATAAGGAAACAATGTGAACCAGTAATTAAAGCTGGAGTAATTATAAAATGTCTTTGTCGAGATAGAAGTGTTTTCAAACAGCAAATTTGAAATTCAAATATATATATATATATTTGAGTATATTCTACCGCTAAGGATATACTGGCTGTGGAAACTGATTTTTAAAAACGTCGATTTAGAATTCACGACACCCCTGTCATGGTCTGGCATGGAGTGTCAGGGCTTCCGAGTACCGCTGCCTCAGTCACGGTCCCAGAGGCTGAGAAGCTTGCAAGGCCCCGATCGCTACGTCTCTGTTCACCCGACCGCAAAGCTGTGGTTCAGAGAATACAAAAGGGAAGGCACGGTCTCTCATTTCTCAGCCATATGTTATTCGTTGTCTATTAACAGACGAAATGACCGCATCGCCAGGAAGCTCTTGTTCAGGAATAGGACAAAGAATGGGGTCCAGTTCTGAAAGGAGACCAAGGTCATTTTTCTTGTTGCTCTACTGACATGCGATGTGTTCGTCTAAATGAAACAGAAGAGTCATACTCCCCTCGGGACTTGAGGGGGCAGGATCCCTTCTGGCGGGCAGGGTCAAGAATGGTCCCTTGCATTTAGGTGCGAGGGTGTTGTCAGTCGCTGGGAGGTGTTGGGCGCGGATGGCTGAGAGCCCCGTCCATCCACAGCGGGAGGCGGACCGGGGCGGAAGCCGGACCGGGGCGGAAGCCAGGCTTCGTACCTTCTCCTCTGGGATCTCACGGCCTCCATCTTGCCCATAGCGGAAAGGGGAGCAGGGGCAAGTTTCATTTTAAAGGACCTTCTCATAGGGTTCTATCCAACGACGTGAGCATTGTTTTAGTAGCACAGAATGGCAGTAGACATGACAAGTTATAGTTAACTTGGGGCAGAAGCAGGGTGAGAACTAGAAGGACCCTATTTCTATAAAGATGAGGAAAATGAGTAGAGTGGACACAATGTAAGTGACATTCAATGACGTTCTTAAAGGGCACCTTGGACATGGGTATACTTAGGAGTGGGGCAACGTGGTCCCCGTTCTCACTGTCCTATTTCTTCAGGGGGAAGTGGGTTCTAGCTCATTAGTATTCTTGCCAATCCCATCTCCGCACCTGCGGGAGTTGACGGTGCAGGCGCAAGCACCGGCGCGGGGCCAGCGTGCAGGCAACGGGAAGGCCCTGGGCGCAGCAGCTGCGGACCTGGCTACCGGCTCTCCCTGTTCCTCCTGCTTCCTGCTCCTCTCTGCTCTCCCTGCCCTCCCCACAGCAGCTCAGACTCGGGGCCGGTGGCGGGAGCGCAGAGGAGGAACACACGCCTCCTGCTGCTCCGCATCTCTTGGCTCCCAGGGCGGCCCTGGTTGGCAGTATTGGCACCGACGGCATGGGAGCCCCCAGAGCTGAGGGTCTCCGCTTCTTCCCACTGACCTGCCACTGCACCTCGAAGAGGGGCAAACAGAGCTGAAGAAGTACCAGGATCAGTGGACAAGGACGCCAGAGAAGCCAGCTTGGGGGGTGGATAGTAGAGACGTCCCAGCAAAAGCCTGCCGGGGCCGCTCCCTGCTGTGGCGTCGGCATTGAGCTGTATCCTAGATCATGACTCCTCATGACTCCATTAGCAGGTAGACATGGCGTTGCCTAACTGTTCCTGTGGTGTCTTACCCTGTTCATAGTTCTGACAGAAAAGCATTGTCTCCAGGTTCTCTGGCCTCCACCTTTTCCACCCTTCTTCCTCTTTCACGCTCTTTGCCAAGTTAAAAACTTCTGTTAGCTAAGGCTTTCTGAACATCTACACTCAGAGAGAAACAGCTCTGAACTCTTATACCTTCCAGAGATAGTTACGTTTAGCAGGGGACCTAGTCCATAAATAAAGGAATTGACTGAAGGGGTGGATTTTCAAGTACCAACAACAGCGTTTTGGGGGGGCTTGTGGGGAGAAGCTTCATCTACTTGGTGCTTGTGACATTGATATTCTCTGTATATTCTCCGATACAGAGAGATGGCCCCCTGAGGGCGTGTGTCATATGGTGCACTTATTTAACAACCCATTGAAAACCTATCAGCTCTGTAACCCATGGACTGAACTGGAGAACAGCAATAGAAAACGGTATCAGGAGGACAGGGAAGGAATTCCGAGCAAGCTGTTTATGAGATGCTCTGTGTGATAGTGCGGAACCTTGTATTGTTACTTTGTCTGGAAGACGTCTTCCTGTTTTCATTATTTCCGCTCGGTGCCATGATTAGTGTTTTCCGGAAACGTGAGTCACTTCCTGTCTTTTTCTATGAGGTCAATGTGTTGACATGGTAGGGGTGAGGGGACCAGGGTGGTCAGGAGCAGCTGCCACCCAGGTTCGCAGTCGGGAGGTTTTGGGGTGGGCACCGCTGTTGCTGCACCCTTGCCCGGTGCGTTCCCCTAACTCTTCTGAATGGAAGGTGCGAAGCCTGCTCAACAAACAGCTCATTCTCAGAGCAGAGAGAGTTGTTTAGCCTCAGCAGGTTTCTTGTAGGGGACGCACCATTCGACTTGGTTTTAGGAAGATTATGTAAGTGTCCACTCACCGAGAGGCCAGAAACTCTTCCGATAATTAAGTTTACAATCAGTAGGCCTCATTTAACTACATAAAAGAGGGGAACGGACCCATTTTATTGCACTTTTGGTGAACAAAGGCCAGGTTTCTGGGTGCAGAGGAGGAGACCTTTGGAGCCACGCAGGAGTGGTGCGCTTCCATAGGACCGCCAGCGTCTGCTCCTGGCCTTGTGGCGACTGCTGTTTTACTGAGAATTCCTCTGTGAGAGACATTTAAAATGACCGTCCCTGTCCTATGTCCAGTACCTAAATGTCTGGGTAATCTGACTATGTCTTGTAAGCATAGCTATTATCACTGATATGGTCAGATTCTTATTTAGTCCTTATAAATGATGAGTGGAATACATTCTTCCCGTGCTAACAAGGAATCTAAAATTGGAGAATGATCACTTTCGTAGAAAAAAGCGTTATTTTCCATTCGATGCTAAGAAAGATAGATAGCTATAAAATTTTATAGGGAGTGAGAAATGCAAATATATAGAAAATAGAAAATATAAATTCGCTGAGTTAGAGAAGACTATGCAAAATGAAATGTTATAGATAATGTACAATACATACATTGACATTCTATTTTAAAATATAGAAAAACTAAGGAAATAAGGATAAAAAAAGCTATGAAAGTAGAGAAAAACAAGATATAGCCAAGTAATAAAATACTACACTGAAAATAAAATCTGCGTCTCGTTCTTTCTTGCAAAAGTAAGGCAATTTGTTAGCTTACGCAGGAAGTTTAAGTCACAGAGGGGCCGGCATCAGACTCTGGGGGGAAAAGGTACGATCCTGACGATCCAACTCACTAGTGACCCCCATACACTCGGACACAGTACGTCACCGTGTCAGAAGACGAATTTCAAGTTACTACTGCCAGTCAGTGCAACATGCCATTTAAGGCAACGATTTAAAAGAATAATTTTCCCTTATCGTTTGAATTGACTGAGTCACTTACGGTGACAACAGAATCAGCGTTAATGATAAATCTTAGTGCATGTTAGTCTACGGGGTGGTCAGAAAGCTGAAAGCAGGAGGGTTCGCGGGCAACCCAGAGACAGGACGGTCACATGACTAGACAGCAGCGGCAAGCCTGGCCGCGTTTATTACCTGTCAGGGACGGGTCCTCCGTTCCGTCCCCAGCGCCCTGAACAGCCTGGGGGGACTGGCGGGCGGGGCTGCCCAAGCTTTCTTCTTGCTCTTGCAGGGAAATGGAGTTTTTGTGAGGAGGTGGATGGGGCGCGTTTTCGCGGGGGGTGCCTTCTGCTCTCTTTCTAGGAAGCGGCGTTGGTTTGGCGGGCTGGCTGCCCCGGCTGCGGGGGGCGGCGGGGTGGGGGGGTGGTTTCTCCTCCTCTCCCGGCCCCCCCTCCTCCTCCTCGTCGATCACAACCAGCTCAGCGTGGATGACGCCGTCGTACCCCGTCAGAAGCCTCTTTTCCTCTTCATCGTCTTCCGCCTGCTGGTACCCCATGAAAATCATCGTCACGGGCTCGGCCCCGTCCACGTCCGGAGGCAGGGAATGGACGATATTGTATCTGACATCTTCCTCATACCCCTGGCAAGCGGGAGGGGGGCGCTGGCCTTCCGACGCCCCCGCGAGCGCTTCTATGGGACTCAGCATCGCCTTGGGGGAGGGCGCGCCCCTGTCCCGCATCCCCTCTGGCTCTTCCCAGGGAGTCGTCCACCTCTGCAGGGCGTGGGGTGGCGTGGCCTCGGCCTGCGGAGCCGCCGCTCGGGGGTGCGGGACTGGCCGAGCGGGACTGGCGTGACCCCAGCGGTTGCCTCGGTCCGCGGGAAGCCCGTTGTCCACGTGTGGGGTGGGTGCGCTCCCAGCGCTCCGCAGTCCATTCGCTTTAGCCTGCATCCTCTCCTGAAAGCTCGGGCCAGGGGCTGCCCGCTCTCGCTGCGGAGTCGTGGGCCTGCAAAACGGATTGGCGTAGACGGGCTCGTGGTACTCGGTGGGGGAGGCAGAGTTCCTCTCCGAAGCCTGCCTTAAGAGCTCCTCAACCTCCACCGGGGCAAGGCCGTCGGTGCCGTTGGTGGCGGCCCGGTGGTTAGAGCTCACGGCGTACACCGACTTCCGCCCGTCATCGTAGACTTTGACTCCGGTGCCCCTGAAGTCATCGGACGGGAGCGGGATTGAGGACAGGACTGTGCTTTCGCCCGTCTTCGGGTCCTTCTTGACTTTGATTTCCATGGCGTACAAAGCTGCCGAGAGACAAATTTGATCTTTGATTTTAGTTCAATTTTTCTCTTGTAAACTAGCCAGCATTCACAGGGTTTATTTTTATATGAAGGTCCCCTTTGCGGGTTCTCGTGGGAGATGTCTAGCTTTTAATTTCTGATTCTATTCATTAACTACGTAGTGACCAGCCCTGGGATGACACTGGTTTTTAGGTCAGGATGTCTGAAATCAGTGGGAATTGGGGAGGATCGGAGAAGAGAAATGGATGGTTTCACTGCAGACCCAAAGAAACGTTCTTTGTCATCAAGAAATCCAATGAGACAGATTTCTACTCTTTTACATGACTCAGCGGGAGGAACCAGATCTTCTCTTTAGTGAGGGAGGCACGTGCATTACTGCCAGTAAAGGCCTAGCACAGGGCGCACGTTTTGTTAAGTTACCGCCTTGCTGTGCAGGTAGACCAGCAGCCCGGTGAAACCACAGACGGGAGTTCCCCTAAGTTTTCACCACGTGGAGGTACCCCCACCTCTGCCGGTGGCTCACACTCCTCTTGGAGTTTGCAGTCTGGACCGTTGCTTACCCCGGAAGCACAGGATGTCATAGCAAGTTGCTAATATTGGGCATTGTAAAATCTGAACTCGAGAACCTGCCTTTGGAGACGGATTACTCATATACCTTTTCTATCTTGTTCATCGTCTTCTGTTCCATCATTTCTTTCCTTCCTTAATCTGGACGGTATGTAGGATTTTGGAAGGTCGGGGATATTAGCATAGATGTCTTCAATCGACTCTGTAAAATTAATATTGATTCAAAATACATCTAGGATATATTTATAATGTTGGAAAAATTTCAGTGGGCTTATCAAAAAATATCTTCGTTAGACATAGACTACAATGCTCAGAAACATACCTCTTGTCATTTCTTCCTTTTCCACCTTCACAGACTATAAGAAAAAAGAATTCTTTATGATTAATACAGTTTAAAAAAATACATTCTAAATGTGGATCTATTCTGAAGAATTATATACCATGTGTGGACTCACTGCGAGGGGGAGTCATGGTTTTAAGATGGGTTAATGCTCACCCTTATTATGTCTTCTGTTGTCCTCTCAATTGATTTCAGTTTCTTTAAAATTGCCTCTTCGTTAGTTGAGATTTGCAGTTCAGCCTTTTCAAGGTCTTGGATCTCTCTCTCCAGTCTGACAACGAAAAGGTATACTTTTTATTGCTTCAGACAGTAGAAATGCAGAGTTCTCAAATATATCTTCCCTTTGTATAAACCTTCCTTGGACTATTGCATGCAAGCATCCCTCTGCCTCCTAGGAATACAGCATCACACCATACATCACATCGAGCACGTAGAAGGTACCTAGTGCCTGACTTGGATTTCACAATTCTCAATTCAAGTTAAAAACGTTTTTTTCTGGATAAAAGGAATTCTTAGGTAAAGTATTTGACCCTTGCCCCATTTTCTTCATTGCAAATACTAATGTTACTTCCAAATGAAGTAGAGAAATTTCTTCTATGAAGAGACTTAAGTTTAAAGTTGAATCAAAGGAATGGTGCATCTGTAGTTCACCCATGTTTCTTACCCACGTCTCCATGTAAGTCATGTGGAAAAAACATGACTACAGTTTTTTCTAGCCAATCAACACTTTACAACATCAGATTATTAAAGTCGATTTAATAATCACAGCTATTTAACACTTAAAGACCCTGCATGTCCCCACAACGAGAACGTCACTTGCTTTTAACTTCACAGTTTCCTAAGAGCTGCGCCGTATTGTGGTGAGTAGGGCGAAGAGATGAACAGTGGACACGACCCGGGATGGTAGCCTCAGCGGCTGCTGTTTATAGAAAATAAACGCTGGGGAAAAAACGGGCACCTGTGACCTGACAAAGTGCAAGGGAACTTACAGGGACACAGAGACCGGGACATCTGAGGTGGGACCGCTGCGAACATCCTGAGTGGGTCCCCTGACCCGTGTACAGCCACACATCAGATTCAGGTTCGCTGCCGGATGCGGCACCCGGACAGGCGTCCTGTGGAAAAACCTTCAGAGCTGAGCACCTGTGCACGTAGCCAGGCCGGCCCCTGGCAGCTGCGACACGCCCGTCCTTTCTCAGCCAAATGCTCTTAAGCTCCCAAGTCAGCTGCCCGCGCGGACGGCTGACGAGGGGCAGCAGCTGGTCTGGGGGCGGCCGCTGCGGGGTCAGCGCCAGCGAAGGTGTCTGTCGGTTTCCTCGGCTTCCTTCCTCAGGACGGCCAGGGACCTGGCAGCTCGTGTGGTTGTCACCCCACTGAAGTCCCCGGACTTGGATTCTTGGCTTTGTCCTACTCGTTGCTTCGGTTTCGACGTTCCGATGGCGGCCGCCTCCGGTCATTGGCAGGTGCCCGTTTATAGTGGAGGAGGTTTTCCTCCTGCAAGTAACAAGCAGTACCTCTGGTTTCTCAGGAGTTACCGAGGTGTAACGGCCATTCTATTAAAATCCCTCGTATCCATGGTAACACAGCGGTAATAGAGCGGTGGGAACATGTGCTGGCTGGTAGAGTGGAAAGTCCTGTGCCCAAAGTGATAAATCTGGATTATTCTGTTTCGGCTACTGGCTGTTCGCGAGCGCCGATTCCCGGAACCTCCCTGGCTCTGGGTTCTGCGATGTGTATGAGAATATGGTAGCTGCTTTACTTTATTCAGAAAGCTGGGGAAGCCGAGTGGAGCTGAAGTATATGAAAGCACATTGGCTACGGTTGACGTCAGATGTAAATGATATCACGGTGCCAGTGTTCAAGGTTCTCTGCAATATGCCGTGTCCCTGTCCCCGTGTGTGTTGGAGACCTTGTCATGGGGAGCCTTTACGTGGAACACGAGAAGGTGCAAGTCGTTGCTGCAAGCAGCTCCCGCGCCTCAGGCTCCACTGTGGACCCAGGTGAACATGGATTTGAATCCGGTTCATCCGCCGCTTTCCTAGGCGACCCCAGACAAGTCGCCCGAGCTTGCTGGGCCTCATTGTCTTCATTCATTCGTTCACAATCAGCATGTACTCTGCACCGGGCGCCCTCCAGGCGTGGGGGTAGGATAGAGAACAGGGCGTTTCCGTTCTTGTGGGAGGACGAGACGAGGCGGCCTCCCTGGGGAAGGGCCCGTGCCGAGCACCATAGGCTTTGCAGGCCGCATCCGGCCTCTGTGGCATATTCATCTTTTAAAAAATGTTTCCTTTCATAATGCTTTACTAACATAAAACCCAGTTCTAGCTGGTGGCTATACAAAAACAGGCCGGGGCTAGGTTTGATCCTGGGCTGTAGTTTGCCAGCTCCTGCAAGTGTGTGTGTGTGTGTATATACGCACACACAATGTATCTCTATACATCTATATATACATGCACATGCGCACCCACACATTCACATATGTGCGTATATTTAAAACTTTAGTTTTGGGTACACAGACACGGGGACTTCGGGGGGGGGGGTCGGGGGAGGACAGCTCTCTAACCTTCGCCTGCTCACCTCTCTGCCGACGGGTTCGGATTTCAGAGTTGCTGCTGCCCCCGTCTTTAGAAGGTGTTATCTTTCCAAGTGGGCATTGAGTTCCTGGAAATGCTGATTCAGCTTGGCGAGAACCAGGCGGTAAGGAGAGGAAAGTAACCCTCCCGCGGCCTCCGCCCGGGGCCGTTCGATGGGGACGATGGATGAGCGCGTTCCCCCCCCCCCGCCCCCCACCGTCTGGGAGATGCTGTGCAGGAGGCATGGGCCGATTTCGATAAGCAGAGAACAGGACAATGGATTCGTGATGCCATCCATTATTGAAGTCTTTCTTCTGGCCTATTTGCTGGGGGAAAAGAGGGTTATTTTCCGGAGTGCCCCAGCTGAAAGCAGCAGCTTTCATTTCAGGCACTGCTCCGGTAATGCCGTCCCTTCGTCACCACGAGATAATGTCCCCGATCCAATTCCGACAGGCAATTTTTTTGCCTCAGAAATAGGACAGAACACGAATGCCGGATGCGCCAAGAAGGGGCTATTTCAGGCCATTTTTCTGCTGCAAAGGGTCCGCTTATCTCTTTCAATTTTTGGCGAAGTTAACAAAGACTGAAACCACTGGATGGAGTTTGCCATTAGGGGCCAAACAGCGTGGGACCCAGGCGGAAAAAAAAATGCAACAGTTTACGTCCTATTACACAGCACCCCTTGTTAGCAGTCCTAGCAACATGTAACATGTATGGAGCGTTCACACTGTACCAGGCGCTGGCCTAATGAGCCCTTACAAGCCCTGCGAGAACTGCGAATGGTTTCGTTTGACAGATGAGCGGGCTGGACAGAGGCACCTGGTCTGGGGCCTGTGCACCTGCGGCCGACGGAACTGGAAATCAAGTCTTGGCCTTCGGAGTCTGAGCCCTTCACTCCTTCCTAATTAGCCACGGTGGGTCCTGATGAGTCCAGACACAGCATCCTTTTTGCTCAGCAGTAGAAAAAGACTTCTTTCTTTTTATGATGATAAAGGGAGGAAGGAAGTGCTATCTGGGCTCCGCCCACACGTCAAGGTGCGGACTCAGTGCCTGTGAAAGGGCCACTCTGTCCCGACCCGTGTGAGGGGGATTTGGTTGGACCGGGAAGCGCCCCGCTTGGTTGGGCTGGTCGGCCCACCCCGGACGGAAGTCCGGGCCTGTCTGTTTCTCCTCTGGCTCCTTCAGTTTGGGTTTTGATCGCCGTCCTCAGAACGGTCTTCTTCGGAGAGCCGGCGGTTTCCTGAATGAGAGCCGCTTTGTGGGGAGGCCTTTTTGCCTGGACACATGACTGTTGTTCAAAGTAAGAAGCTTTGGGAATTAAATATAAAGCCGGCTAATGCAGCTGGATGATAATAGTGCGCTTTGGATGTAATTACCAGCGCTACGTTTGCAATGAAGTTTATGACTGGTTTCGCTAGGCACTTTGAAGGGACTGGGGAACTAGTTGTGTCTCGGGAGCCCAAGCTCTCTCATGAAAGGCCAGGACTCCGCCCAGAGAGGGCCCGGCAGTGCGTCTCGGGATGGCCTGAGTCAGCGGGCGCTGGGCCCAGGCCGTGCCGCCCCCGAGGCGCTCTGAGGCCAGCTGGTAGAAGGCAATGGGTGGGGACACCCCTGCCCCTCCCACAGGACTCACAGGCCCTTGGCATGTGTTTGTCCCCAGCAGGTGGTGAATTTGGTCTGGAGTGGCGGGCAGCGGCCCCTCCTTCGGGCTGGACAAAGGGGTGTCCAACCTATGGCCCGCGGTCCGCATGCAGCCTAGGATGGCTGTGAATGCGGCCCAACACAAAACCGTAAATTTACTTAAAACATGATGAGATTTTTTGTGATTACGTGTTGCAGTGTATTTAATGGGTAGCCCAAGACAGCTCTTCTTCCAGTGTGGCCCAGAGACGCCAAAAGGCAGGCCTGCCTGGTGGAGAGTTGCTTTCCTTTCTTGCCCCCTGAGTCTCGGGAGACCAGGAAGAGGCTGGTGGTTTACCGATATCCTGTGATTTCTGTGTGTGTGAAGGTCCACTTTTTCCCTCCAGTCCTCCCACGGAAACAGGAAGGAAGCCCGTATCAAAGCTGACACACCTGGCTTAATTATTGAGCCCCTCCAAGCTTTAGTTCTCTCATCTGGGGACTAATAATAGGATTCACGGAGGGTTTTCTTGAGGAGGCAAATGAGGTCACGTTTGTAAGCCTCTGGCTATAATGACGACCTGCCCCTGCCCTTCCTAGCCTGCTGGGGAGGAAGAGAAGGCCGACCGGGGCCATGTGGGGGTCTGATCTTCAATTTCAGTATCAACGAATCTAGACCAAGCAGGGCGCTGATAGAGCCTCCGGGACAGCCTATCCTGGAAAACCCTGTTCTAGACAGAAAACCAAACCTGTGCTCTGGCCTTATCAGAATGTATTTTTATAACATCCATGGGGGTGGTGTTTATTTAATAAATGTTATCCATTTCATAAATGAGAGAATATGCTAGTCTGTTTGACAACCTGGTACTGCTCACTGCCTCCAACCCATTTCTCCTGTTCCTTTCGGTAAGAACTCCTGGGGTTTTACGTGTCTCCTGCCCACAGACTACGTTTCCCAGCCCCCCTTGCATTTAAATGGTGCCATGCTTTAAATCCTGGCCAAGGGACATTAGCAGGAGCAGCCTCTGCAACGCTCAGGTCGTATCCTTAAAATAGAGCTGCTTGTCCTCCGTTTATC